GTAGAGTCAGATATGCAAAAGCCAATCGCAATCGGCGCATTCGCCGCCCCCCCTCCTCTCCTCGGCATACCCGCCACGGGTTGTCCGCTGGCCATGTATCGAGATGGTCCAACTTATCCCATGCTCTGCGCTCTGCGCTCTGCGCTGCTGCTATCCAACTCCATGCAGCGCCGGTCCTTGCAGACGCCATACGGTGTCTTCGTACTCTGCGATGCCCTGCATCACATCAGCCCTCACGGCGGTGGTCTTAACCCCCTCCCCCTTGGTTTCCACGCCGCCCCATCTGTTCTCCCCTGCGATAGAGACCTTATTCGCTGACACTCGTTAACTCTCAAGGGGCGTGGCTGCGCTGCATTCGGGTGTATGCTGCGCAAACGGAAACAACAGAAAGGAATGGAATAACGGGATCTGCCACTGGTCCATCCTTGCCGGGATAGCGCTGAGTAAAGATATGTTTGCACGCTATATGCTGGATGACTTCGTCTCATCTGGTGTGTGGGTGGGTAAGTAGTCAGCATCGCTGTATCACCCATAGGGGCCATGATCCCTGCTGCTATCTGAATGCTGATGGCGGGGCTAGAGGAGCACACGATGGAGAAATGCCGTCCCAAGGGACCTGAGCTGCCAAAGATCGATATCATGACCTGCTACTAATGTAGGAGGCACCCAGGGCTGTGCTAAACAGTATTATCAGCATGCCGAAGGGGGAACGTTGGACTTCCGCGCCACCTAGGACGCTTACCCTGGACATTGACAGAAACGAGGCAGATGCACATGCGTTCCGCATGTGCAACTGTGACGAAAACCAGACGTCCGCCACCTGCAGTCAACAAGCGGCCGCCCAGGGTAATAGCATACTTGTAGTTCGTCTTGGATTGGACGACGAAGCAAATGGGACTGCCCGCCTCCCGCCAGTTCGTACACCTCACCCACTTGTGCGCCCCGCCAAGGTGCGTTGTCTGTTGTCATGAGCCGGCCAGGAGTCTCGGGCTACTACCTACACCACAAGCAATGATACAAGCCCCCTCGCAAGCAGGGACCGGAAACCATCATTTCGAAAAGAAAGAAAAAAGAAGGACGAGAAGAACCCCATTCATGGAAACACCCACCCACGTACACGGACTTGGCGCCTTGTGTTGGGAAGTGGGACGGGGGGTGCAAGTTCACAGACAGCGAGAGACGTTTTCTACGCCGAGGGCACGGACTGGCGTCGCATCTAGAGTCAGTTGAGTACGGATAGCTGAGACCAAACAGAGAGGGTTGCCAGGCAGTCAGTCCATCTTCCAGGAAGTTCAGCTAGGAGGGTTTGAATCCCTCTCCCCCCCCAAATAATCTCATCTCCGTCAAATTAGAGTCGGCCATTATCCTATCCGAAAGCATCGCGTGGCTGCAGCGCCGTTGAGCATTGCAACAGCAACACATGTACGAAGCACTCAAGAACAATGGCAATAAGGAAGCACTAAGCCGTTGGCAGAGTTTACCGTCCCTCCCTGTCGCCTTGTGGCTTCTCTGGTGCGCCCAGCCATGTGGTTTTCTATCGGGCACCCCCCTCTCTCCTCTGGCCGCTTGCATTCGTCCGTCTACCTAATGCCGTCTCAACGGTATCATTCCAGTGCCGGCAACGCGATGGCGCCTCATCTGACGGCCGAGAAAAAGGAATAACCACATCACAGACGGGAGCCACCGGGCGACATGGACAAAGCGATTGTACCCCGGCATTCGCCTCGGCATCTCCCGAGCGACAGAAGATTCACACTGCACATGCCCGTGGTCTGGTGTGGTGATTCAGCCCCCCTTTCCCCATCACGGTCAGATACTAATCCGGTCAGAGATGGTGCGCCTGAGCCCTGTCCCCTCATTCACGGTCCACCCCATCACGGATCCCAGGCTCTTCAAACGGACCACTCCCTTGACAAGTTTCACGCCCAATCCCGGGTCTCAGCTCGCAGATCGATGGAGAGCCTGCGCCTCAGGGCCTCCGAATAGTAACCGACCCACCAGGCCAGTACCCATAGTGGTCGGTCCATCGCGCAACCGCGCTTCTTGTTCGTTGTGTCGCGTCCCTGTCGACCCGGAAAGCGTGCCAATGGAACGAACATGAGATAGATCTCGGCCGCCCTGCCACGGCTATATCACGTCTGTTATCGGCCTGGTTGGCTCAGTTATTTGAAAATCGAAGCCCTGCCCAGCCGTTTCCCCTGCGAAGATCATGGTTCAGACGGAGCGTCTGACGCCATAATCTTCTTTTTGGTCTAACCTGATGCACAGCACAAGACCAAAGAGAATCAATCGCCCTAGTCGCCGGTAACGAAGAGCGCGCTAAGCTACCGCAGCAGCAGCAGGCGTGGCCCTCCAAATTCGAAAACCACCTTGGACTACTGACGCTGAGCGCGACTCCCAACTGTGCCATCGCTGCGTAGCATAAGGACGAGGGCGGCTAAGGGACAAACTGCAAGCACAACACTAGCGGGACAAACATAGCATACCTATAGGTACCTAGGTAACATGGCATGGCATAGGTGGTAGGATGGCACAGCACGGCACGGCATGGCATAGCACACGGCATGGCACACAGCACGGCACGGCATAGCATAAAACAGCACCGGACAACAATGGCGCAGCGACGAGCAGAAATGGCGAAGAAGTGTCGCTCTCGCCCACACCCACGCCTACCTACGTAGACCTGCACAACACACACACACACACCCCCTTGTGCCAGTTACACAAATCAACCCGAGACACACTCTCCACCCCCCCCTCCCCCCCTGTCCCTGGACCAAGTGGACATGGACCCTCGTCGAGGCCAGCGGCCAGTCGGGGGCTTTTTCCTCCCCACCGGCGCGCCCAAACCTACTGTGGGGAAGTCTAAACATCGACTACATCCCTTTCCCTTCAACGCATAATGCCCAGCATCCTTGCGTCGCCGCAAGTGGAAACTTTGACCAGATTCTCTAGCCTCTCCCTCTCCTCTCTGCACACTCATCATACGTGCTGGCTCCAGTTGCGAGCCTCTTGTCTGCCCCAATCTTTCTCTCCGATGCTTGCCCGTGGCTTTCGAGCTTTGCCCCAGTCTAGTCGCCGGGTGTGTGTGTTGGAATCGGAGCCCTGACCTAACAGAGCAGACAGTAGCACCAGCCGCACACCCGGGCTCGGTCCAGCCATCTGGTCGTCGTCCATGTATCCGTACCGTACCCTCTTCAAACGTCTTTGACCTACCAAGTCATGGCCTGAGAGGCTGCTGCTGCTGCCGCCTCTGTTCTGACCATCTCTACACCCTCCGCCCGGATTCCCAAACAGCTACCGTCTTCAATCCCTGCCGTCGCTTCATGCCTTCTCTACACAGCCCTACTACTTGCTGTGTTCCCTGGGCCCCCAGGCTTGTCCCCGTCCCTCGCTGACCATCCATCCTATCTTTTTTTTGTTTCCTTCTTTCTTGACCTTTCCCAAACGCTGGCCTTGGAACTCCTCCTTCTCACTTCCTCGCCGCCAATGGTGCATGTCTGAAAGCCCCTCCCACGATATCAGTTACAATCCGGTCCATATTGAGGTTGGATTGCGCATGTTTCTTGTCCATGGCATGATTGCACCAACGTTCCCGAAACGAAACTTTGACGAACCTCGCCAAGGTGGTCGCCGACCTTGAGGAGGACTGCTCGAGAAACGTATCGGCCGCCCCGTGGTTTCGTTCGTGCTCCTCCTGTCTCAGGGCAAGACGAAAAGACGGAGGGAGACTGAAAGAGGGCTCGCTTTCGGAATAGCAATAATCTGGAAACGGCACTATCGTCCGGAAAACCACTCTGACGGACCCGATCAACGTCTCCCCAGCTGACACTGCCACCCATCACCACCCCCCTTGATCGTACAGCTTTGGGATCTCAGCTCTATACCGGGGAGGAGGCGCTGTTTCCTCTGTTTCTCTCGGTTCGAGGTCGATCCGACATCTGCGAACTGCCAGGGCGTGTTCAAGCTAAGAGGTGTTAAAGCCTTTTCGGACGACCCTTCAAGTACACCACTGCCCGGCTTCAAGGTGTTTCGGCTGTTTCAATCCGCTTTTGGAACTGTCAGTGCGACTCTGAAACAGCGATCCCAACGATAGGTCTGATATTCTTATCGTTTGCTTCTTAACTTATCATCGCCTCCTGTATTGCCCCTTCCCCTTCCCTCCTCTCCCACCCCCCGCCTGCTGGGCGCCACACACAAAAGCTTTGGGATCGCCCATCAACCTTATCAGTTCCCTATGCTTCCCTTCACCGCTGTCACATTACCTCCCCGCCCCCAAGTTGTGCGACCTCTCGCAGCCTGGGTTTAACAGACGAGTATCCGATATATCGGACTGGATCCTAGATCGGACCCCATACTCTTCTTCTTCCTCCTCCTTCTTCAACAACAACAACAACGATAATAACAACAACACCATCGACCGTTAACAGTATAAGCAAGGTCTCTTGACGACGAACACTGGACGGAAGTCGACATCTACCATTCATCAACGACGGCAATCAGGGCATTGCAACATACGGGCAATACTCTTTGAAGGAGAAGGACGGTGCGAACATCATACGATACCATCGCCACAAACGACCGCCAAACTGGATTCGTCTCGGCGACAAGTCTTCCCTCACGTTGTCCGCGCTTGAGCGATGGACGTGACATCACTACTGAACGCAGCGGCGGGAAAAAAGCCAACTATTCGGGACAACTCACTCGAAACTACCTCTGCAATCGTCTTTGACACACACCAAAATACACCATTGTCCTTGGAGAAGACACCTTCTTCCAGGAGGACAAGCGACGCTCGAGCACCGCGGAACCGCACGCCATGGGATGCGGGCGGCTATTCTCTTCCATTAGCTCTTGACACAAAACTTTCCCTCACACATTCGAAGCCCACCTACTACTGCGAATCCGACGTGGACCAGTCGGCCTCCGCGAGTTCCTACGACGTTCCCTCGTCAAGCTGCCATTCGAGGGCCAGCTCTCTCAGTTCTTTGGCACACGAGATGGCGCATTCCGCCAACATTACCCCGATGACAAGCACACATCCAGGCCGGTACGTAGCGCAGTGCTCTTGGTTGTCCGCATAAAACATCCCTCACTTGGCCCCTATCAACTAACCCCCCGTGAAGCCTGGCGAGCCTAAGCGAGCCAGATTCGCAACTCTACGTTGCGACTAGCCGAAGGTGAGCCAGCTACGGGAGGACTGTCTTCTTTCGCTTCCAACGATTTCGACCCGCAGCATATACCATGATGTTGTTGAACTGACTTATTTCTTCAGGCCTAGCATCTCCGGCGACACGGATGCTCAATTAACGGCCAGGTAAGCAAGAGCGCGTATTCCGACCGGGTGCTGTTCTGGCACAGCCGCATCCATCTGACTGCATACGGGCGCTTACACCGGACAGACCAAACCTACCGCGTGAAGACGACGGTCAACAACACATTCCAGGAGGATTCCCAAAGTCCCCTAAGCACAAGTTCTCGGATAGCCACAGCAGCTTATCCTCTTACACGTCTTCCAACCAGTCTGGGGGCCACTCCAGGATATCTTCGTTGTCAACAGTTAGCGGTATCCAGCCGTTCACCTCCCTACTAAATGAGGTTCCGGCGTTCGACGCCAAGCTGGCAGAGCATCAGCAGAACATGTCCGGCCCGGGCATGGTTGATATCCAGCCGCCGTCGCCGAGGACGATGGCTCAGCATGATCCGGTTCTGGACCCCGCGATGAAGGGACCAGGGAGACCAGGCAGCCCCTCGGATGCGATACTCATTACACGGGGTATGGGGGGCAGCAACCGGTCCAGTCCAGCAGACGGCTTGAGGTACGTACGCGATGAAGCGAATGCTATTTCGATTTTGTGCATATCCATCATCCTGCCCTTTCAATCATCATTGCGAGAAAAACACATTTTTTTAGATTTTCTGCCAGCGAAGATGCGGAAGCTCATCGGGCAAATCTTGTCGTGCCAACGTGCCTTCCTCACTTGGCTAGCTCCCTTCACCAGCACTTTCCTCATCTTAACCTTCATCTCCTCGCCCACTTGCCCACTTCACTTGGCGTCGCTCGCTCAGCGGGTCACGTGTGTGCCGGCAGGTGGGTTTTCCTGCTCCTTCCATACGTCTTGTTGGCTTGAACGATTCCGTCGGATCTCGAGAAGGCCTCTGGATTCACCGCGATAGTCACATGGCCGTCTTTCTATCCTCCCTTTTATAAACCACATCTTACGGAGCCTAATCCTTCTTCTACTTACCTCCCTGACCCGAACATACCTATCAGCCGATATCTGTTAGCTCCGCTGGGAACTCCACTGACAAAAGGCAATCAAACAATAGTCCTCACTCGAAGCACCAAGACAACTTTAATTATCTATCTCTTCCTCAAGAGAACTCTCACGCAAGAAGCCACAAGAGAACCGTTTCGGCTCCCGATTTCGCTGCTGTCGCCGGACCCAACTTTCAGCCTTTTCCTTCCGTATCAGAAACAGCACCGTTCACAACGCAACAGTTCGGTATGTCGCCTCCTCAGTCTCCCCCGCCTGCCGCCGGCAGCGACGAGATCAAGTGCATGTACATCGAGAACTGCGACACCGGATCCCAGCCGCGCAAGGCCATCTCCCACATCTTTGGCCGCAACAAGCTCTGCACCCGCATGATCCCTGCCCACGTCTGGGTTCACTTTTGCCGCAAGCACTACCAGCGCAGTCGTTACCGCAACGCCCACGAGTACTCTAAGCTTCAGGTCGACCTTGTGCAGAAGCAGATTGCCAGAGTCCAGCAGTGGAGCGACGAGAATGAGCGCGCCGGAAAGGCGGGCGTGGTGAACAGCTGGTCGCTCGCCATCCGCAAGCGTGAGCAGAAGCGATTGGAAGACAAGAAGGAGTCGAAAAAGCGCTCCTACCAGGACGAGTCCGAGGAGGAGCAGCTCGACGGTGCCATGCTCAACGGTACCGCTGTCCCCGAGTGGCTCCTCAGCAAGTGCGGTGCCGGTTACACGACCGTAGCTATTCAGGAGATTGTTGCGCAGCTCAAGACCGAGATCGACAACGGTGGCCTCAGCCAGATCCCCGACATCGAGATTCTTCCCACCATCAGCAGCGACGGTCCTGACGAGAAGCCCAAGACTTACCTCAAGCGCAAGACGAGCGGCGGCACGGCCCACAAGCGCTCGCAATCAATGGGTGTTGCCTTGAGACCCGAGGCACTCCCGATGGCTAGGCGTGTCAGCCAGCCCAACGCGTATTGGGGACATGAAGGTTTCGATGCCAACTCTATTGAGAAGCGCCAGCGCATTACTGACATGGAAGCCGGCTTTTATGGAGACCGTAACGCCATCCCCGGCATGACCAGGGTCCCCTCTGGCATGCGCCGAATGAACATTCCGCATCGCCCTGCGTTTGGGAACATCCGCGAGAACCAGCCCGAAGAAGACTATTATCGCCAGCCCCAGATGAACTCTGGTCCTTTCGTCTTCGGTGCCGGCGGGCCTCCGGGTGGCCCTCTCCCTGCGCCTACTCCCCAGCGCCGCGGTAGCAAGTCCATGGCCTCCCATCTCGAGACTTCAACCACCATGCCTACCGCCTATCCTGACCCGCGCCGCGCCTTTCATCAGCGGTCTCAAAGTGAGATGAGCGGATTCCACCAGGGCCAGGCGCCCACCTACAGGCCCAATTCCTCCTCGGGTTTCGGCCCCTACGGATATGGCCCCAGCCCCGTCGATCAGCCGCAAGAGCAGTACAACAACACCTACCCTCGCCCTCCCGACAACCCGTTCGCACAGGCCACGCAGCCGAACTACTATGAGGATCCTCAGCGGCAGTACGCTTACGGTGCTTCTCCGTTCCAGCCCAACCCGGCCTCTCGTATGGGAACAGGTAGCGCCAACAGACACACCCGTCACCAGAGCACCCCCAACGCTCCCGGTGCCATGCATCGTGCCCCCTCGGCGCACGGCTTCACAATGGGCCCTAACATGACCACGCGCCACGACCAGCAACAACAGGGCTACGACCGGACCCCCTCGGACCACTCGCGTCACTCCTCCTATGCTACTCCGCCCATTCAATCGATGCAGCCCATGCAGTCTATGCAGTCGATGCAGCCCATGCCTGATGGCGCTCGTCACTGATTTGGACAAGATCTGAGAACTGCACTATTTCGAAGGAGGCTTTCCTTACACCTGTGATCATATGACGTTACGTCGAAACGGCATTAAAAACGGAGTCAACATCTGGGGGACGGCAAGCGGTCATTTGTGTTTCCTACCTCTCTCTTTGATCTTTATACTCTCTTTTCTTTTTTCTCTTACTCTCCTTGCACGTTCAATCAACAGCATGAGGAACAGCGGGGAAACAAACCAGCTTGTACTACAATGAACACGAATGGACCTTCTTTATCTCTTATCTCAGAATGGCGTGTCTCGGCCATTTAGGAGGGAGTGGCTAGGCATAGGCCGGTCTCAATGATCACAACGATGGATGACTGGACATCGCACGGATCAACGGCACACAACACAACGCAAATGAACCTGGGGAATTTCTCTTTACAAGTCTTAGAAAAAGGGAAATAGTTCGAGGGCAACCTTCGCTTTTTCTTTCAGGATCTTGTCGGAGAGCTTGAACGCACGGGAAACAAAGCATACATGGATCGGAAACGTATTAGTAGGCCGGTGGTGGAGGAGGTGGTTTCGAGCGTGAGAAGTGGAATTGCATCTGTACTGATATATAACGGACGGCGGCGGTCTAGGGCTTTTCCACAGGATCCAGGAGTGGGCAGGCTGGGGTGGGTGGTGGTTCTGAAAAGTGGCGTTGGTTTTCGGTTTTGGCTTTCGACGAGTTTTTTTCTTTTTCTTTTTTGCGCTTCCCCTTCTCTCAAGACCCCCCATTCTTCGTCTTTCTGTAGGTCCGTCTTCGCCTCTATAGTGCTTGCACTTAAGTTGGAAGCAACGGCCGGGAGGGACAAGCAAGTAGGGCAGGGCAAAGGATGGGGGTGATGGGTGATGAGGGAGAGAGGGGGAAGGCGAGGGCCTGTGGAACGCCTAAACTTTCCTTACTTGTTGATAACGATTTTGCGCTTCCTTCACCTGCTCTCTCGGCAAACAAAAGGCTTTGAATGCTTAGATAGCTCAGCCTAATGAACACGCAGTTGAGTTAAAAACATCAGGCCGGGGGGAAACGCAACAGTTCCTCTTTTCTGACGTGAAGCAATGTGATTCAATGGAACACGCCAAGGAAGGGGATGGCCCTAGACCGGTACCTGAACCTGGATTCGGGCCCGAATTCGGACCCGAAAGGTAGCCTTGGGCGGGCGAAAAGGACGCTCGTAGATGGATGGCACCCCCCCTCCTCCCCCCCTTTTTTCCCCCCCTTCTTTTTCCTTCTTTTTGCCTGCTTGACTTCTACATTATAGGTTCTTTCTGAATGGCACGATCCAACTCCAGATACATGTGTGGGTATGCAAGTCCACCGCTATGCTCATCTATGCTTCGTCTGCGCAATGCTTTCCCCCGTAGGCGCACCTTACATAGACATGCCGTCTACTTCTGTGTCCCCGTCTCACTGTTCCTCATAAAAGCGCCACGACCGGCATCTTTCGTTTCGTCGAGACCGGTCCGCAGGGCCTCCGTTCTACTTACTCTCTGTACATGATGGCGCCGCCGTCCCAGTCCGCCAGCCTGCCGACGTTCGCCCGCCCCTTGACGACGAAACCGAGCCTCTCGTAGAACGGCTCGACGCCCCCGAGGCCAATGAGCCACGCCGGCACGCCCTCCTTGTCGACCTGCTGCAGACCCCCCCTCACAAGCAGCGACCCGTATCCCTTGCCCTGGAACTCCGGGTGGACCGCTAGCGTCGAAAGGTACCACGCGTTCTTGCGCCTCGGGTGCTCCGGGTCGTTCTTGATGGGGTCCGAAGCGATGTGCGTGTCCTCGAAAAAGTCCGCCATCGCCGGATCGGCGCACCTCGGCGGCCACAGGTATCCCAACAGGGAGTTGAGGCCGAGGAGGACCGGCTTGAGCCAGCCGCGGACGGTGAGCGGGCCCTCCGCGGCCGATTTCTCTTCGGGTGTGGGGTAGGGGCGGCGCCACCACATGAAAGCGACGACCCGCTCGCCGGAGGCGGACGACGGGTCCGGGACGGCCAGCACGTGAAAGAGCTGCTGCTCCGGGCCCCAGTAGCGGGCGTAGAAGAAGCGGTGGGCCCAGGCGCGCCAGTCGTCCGGGAACTCGCGGCGGCGCGGGTGCATCCTCTGGATCGTCCAGTCGTTGCCGAAGGAGGCCATGTAGACGTCGAGTACGGCCGGCAAGTCGGTCGAGGTGCCCGGGCGAATGTAAAACCCCGCCGCTGCTGCTGCTGGCTTGGCCATCCTGGGCGACTTTTGGTAACGATTATCAATGGCAAAAGGCGGGGGGCCCTGATATGAAAAAAAAAAAAAAAAAAAAAACGACACGGATCAGTTTCGGCTTCTTTGTTCTTGGCGGTAATGTCGCAGTGAGATTGACGCGGGGGGGGGAAAAAAGGATGATTGACGGATGAGGTCGGGTAAAAAAAGGTTAAATATCCGTACCTACGGTACACTTGACTCACTACTCCAAGGTGCAAACTCGACTGGACAATGAAGCAATTGGCCAATGGGCTTTCTTCGATTTCACCATCGCAGCGCAATATGGTACCAATTCTGGAGGCGACGACTGATTGGAAGGAAGCTGGCGGTTATTGGCTGCTGTTCAGGCTCTCAATGGGGCGGAGTCGTATGGTAGTATACTTGGCTTATCAATGAGCGGGTGACTCAATCGGCGAGTGCCAAACGTAGGGACTTTTGCTTCTCAGGTGGTCCTCTGCATAACACTTCCCTCTTCCCTTCCTCAACTACCTCTCAGAAAACACAGTCCTCCAACTCCAACTCTGCCTGAACTCAGCCTTAACCCTAATGTCTAATCCTATATATCTTCATATGGGTTTTTTTTTTTTTTTTTTTTTCATAGAGGCTCGTGCCAGAAGCAGTTACATACGGGCTAAATAGCCGTACTCGGGCTTGGAGGACCGTGCAATTGACGCTCAATTGCTGTAAACGGTCCGGGTGTGCATGGGCTACTTCGGCCCGGAGAAAGGAGCCGATGAAAAAGAGCCGAGGCAGATAACGGTACCCGGCCAAACAAACCTCGCTTGCGTGTCTCGGTGGTGCCGGGCCCGATGCCGGCAGAGGTAGCAATCTGACCGAGGCACTTTTCGGCCCCCAAAGCCGCACGTCAGCGACAAGAGCGAGCGAGAGAGAGAGAGAGAAAGGCTGGGCGGAAACCAACAGATCCCTGGCGACCATAGTACCATCCTATCCACGTGGACGCGGCGGTTTCTGGTTCGCGCGGTGAGCCTTCCTCCCTCTCCCCGACCTGGCAAAACTTTGCGGACCAGCCTGCGGGCCCCAATGCCCAGAGAGACAAGGCGATTGAAGAGGAAATGATTGGTCGTGATTCCTTTGTGCTTTGCATCGGTCGACTGGCTCACTTGCGGCCGGCCTCGAGTTGGACCGCCTGATAAACCGTCAATGCGAGCAACAACGTTGGTCGCACAGAGGCGGTAACGACGGTAAGGTAATCCCCCAATTCTGTGTACGATTAGCCACTGGAAGGCTGTGTAACATTGGCTGGACGTTGCTCAATGGCGCTAGTTGAAAGCATATTGAGCGTTTCTTACCCGCCATGTCAGCCTTACATGAGGGTGTGCGCACAGCGACATGGGCTGCTGACAGACAAATGCGAGTCTTTATTGTCCCGCAAGTCCCGGGACCGAAGGCAGTGCAAATGAGGAAACTCGATTGTGTTCCTCAACCATGGAAACGTGTCAGACGGCATGGATGGCAGGCAGTAGTATCTGGGACACCCGAGACATGTCGCATACATGGCAGAACGAGATCTGGCTGCGAGCGGTGATTGTCCGGGCTTCGTTCCACTTCTGCGTAGTTGAAGCCCCCAAGTCCAGATGCGGAAGGAAGCTTGCCTCTGACCAGACAAAACTGCGGATCAGCCGAAGGGCCCAAGCGTTACGTACCACTTTAGAGACGGTGCAATGTGGCAGGCAAGCGGGGCAGGTATGCTGTGGCGGCAGGCAGGAGAGGGAGGCGGCCGGGGAGACGGATGGGCAGGTTAGAGTGTGGAGAGAAAGCACGATAGATGCCGATGAAGCATACACAACAAGTGCCTACCTACCTTGGCACCTTGGGTACCCTGCATAGTACCTAGGTAGTACGGATACCTTAGATACCTACCTGGGTAGGTAGGGTACATACTTTCTGTATCCGTACTTGTGTGCTCCTTGAATCTTTCCAGTACCCAAGTCCTTTTTTCTTTCTTTCTCTTTTTTTTCTTTTTCTTTTGCCCTCTTCTTTCTCTAGGTATTCTTTCCTTGTCCATCCTGAACATGCTCCTAATCCGTCGAACCCGACTTTTCGGATCATCCCAGTCACCAACTCTCTTCCCTCAACGGGGTTTGCCTGATACCGCATTAGGTAGATCGAATTCTGGATGGATCAATCACGGGCTAACCTGACAAGCCCCCTGATGGTCCTCGAGTCATCCTATCGGCAAGTATCCCTGAGGCGAACCGACAACAAGCAACGAGCAACGCAACAGGGCACCCAACGCCCTACTGGGTATGTAGGTAGCTTGGCATCAGACTACCTATGGGGGAAAATGAGCAGCCAGCACATGTTAAACTCCAATTACCCTGCCCCCCCCCCCTACTCCTCAGCCCGGCCTGCGTTTCTCAGGCAAATGGCAAGCGAGCACACATCTGTTCTCATGTAACACGGCGCAACGGGGTTTGCAGGGGGCTGCGTCTTCGGCGTCTTCGCCTTCGTTGCCTTTACCTCTACAGTGGCCCTCAGTTACATCGGGACCAGGATTAAGACTGGATCGAGGAAGGATCCGCTTGGAGGCCAGAGAGATCCGCCCTCTCGAGTTCCCTCAAGCCCCCCCTCCCAGCACCGCTCGTTATCACTGGTGTCGACCGGGTGTAAAGCCCCTCGATGCCCTTCTTGGCCACAAAAAAGAGGCCTGGGCCTGTGGAGCACGCGGCACTAGTAAGGACCATCTGCATCGCGACGTGTATAGCTCCTACCTCACCTTATTACTCCTCAGCCCGACCGGCTCTCCCTCTCTCTCTCTCTCTCTCTCTCTTCCCCCTCCCCCGTCGTCAAAAGGACCGAGACCTGTCTCGGCAGACTTGGTTGCTATTTGACGGGCCTTGTTGTGACCGCTTCTGCTTTTCACTTTTGCAAAGCGAGTGAGCCGGGCCGTTCCAGGCGACCGATCTGTTGCCTGTTGACACCATTGACAGACCGTTCTGTCGGGAACATATTCTAGTTGTCTCTTTCTTCTTCTGCTTCTTTTTAACCCTCCCCCGGTGGATTTTTAGTCTTTTTTGGGGTTTTTTTTCTTTTTCCATTTTTTTATATCTCTTTTTTTCTTTTTTTCTTTTCACGTTTCGGTTTGCCTCCGCCCCCATCGCGAACTCCACTAGACTTCCCTCGCGGCTAATTATTCTCGCCCAAGCCGGCGTCCATTTCTGCGTTTGTGTTTCCCATATTTGTTCGCTGAGCTTTCCGCTCAATAAGACCATCTCGCGACATGGCGAGACAGGTTCAGTGGCTTGCCGAGACGCCACCGTCCGAGGATTCGGACAACATCAACTCGGGCTCACGTTATACCGGCCACTTGTCGTCGTCGTCTTCCAGTTATCCATCTCCCGCCGATGCCCCGCTCCGAGCCCACCGCGCCTGCGAAAAATGCACCCGAACCAAGAAGAAGTGCGACAAAGGCCTGCCTGCTTGTTCGAGATGCACCAGGTAAGACTGCCAAATCATCTTCTCATCCGTCTGCCAGAGGTCTCATCATGTCTAACACGAACTCAGGCTCGCCACCAACTGCTGCTATGACTTTGTGGTCAATCCTCCCTCGCTCACCATCGTCGAGCAAGGCTCTCCGAGCAATGCTTACAAGCATCCCAACGACGCTCGCCCAGCCTTTGAATGGCTCAACCAGGTCGACTTCACCGCTGATCAGATCATGCAGCTCCTCATCAGTCATGGCGTCGACTGGAAGGCTTCCGTCAATACCTACTTCAGCACTGTCAACACCTGGCTCGTCGTCATCCATCCCGAACTCTGGCAGAGACGCTGCGCCGCCGCTAAGCTCGATACCACCCCCAACGATCCTGGCCTGGCCCTGCTCATCCTATGTATTCACATCCTGACCATTTGGAATGTTGACGAGTTTTCGTCTACAGCCATGCTCGGCCATCCACTCTATCAGTCTGCAAAACGCATTTGGGTCATGAGGAAAGCCTTTTCCAAGGCCAATATTGAGCATGTTCAGTGCGGCGTTCTCCTAGCCTTGTTCGAGCTAGGACACGGAGGCATCACTCGCTGCTATCAGACGTTCGGCGAGACCGCATCGATTGGCAAGGTGCTGAATCTGAGACCCGGCAAATATGTCAAGGAGGAAGAGGATACGCCTGCCGACATAGGAGAGGAGCAGAATCGCGCGCTTTGGTGGGTGCTCTTTATCATGGACAAGTAAGAGCCCCCTGGGCCATGGCACCTAGGTTTTTACTTATCGTATAGGATCACCCACCTGCAAGCCTCGACACTATGGGCCCCGCTTCAGATGGAAATGCCCTCCGAAGACGACCTCTTCCCCACAGAACATTACATCTGGGACAACGACAGGAACAAGTCGGTCAAGATCATCAAGCGGTACCCCGTCACAATCCCGGCCTCAGTGCGTGTCGGCACTTTTCAGAGATCTTGCCAGGCGGCTATCCTTATCGGCTATGCCGCGAATTGGGAGGCGGCAAATGCGGAGACCGACGAACCTCCCAGCGTCTACTCGTTTGCCCAGCTCGAGTTAGCCGCGAGAAACCTAATCGAAGCTTTGATTACCCGGTCCGAGACCTGGAGCGAGAATCTCAATCCCTACGCCTTGTGTGCAAGGTTTGTCAGTTCTGGCCTACGCCCGTCGGCCAGGTGCTAATATCGTACAGCACTTTCTGTCTTCTCTTCTATTCCTTTCTCTATTACACCAATAGACCCGACACTCCTGCCCGAGACCCAGAAACGGACGTGGAGACGAAGAAGGCCGTCGCCGGCATCAAGTTTACCATTAGTCTCGTGATGGATAGCTCAAATGGTATCTTCAATGCTTACCCCAACCGTGAAAAGTTTTTGGAAAACAGCACCCTGGTCTGGCCATATGCGCAATATCACGCGATGCAGCTTCTTTTCCATTACGAGGCTCTGCTGGAAGATGCAGAGTCTATGATGGCAGAGATCAGGCAGAGCGTCGAGAGCACAACAAAGCGATGGGCTTGTTCTCGTATGGATCCATGCTGCGCCCTTTTCAATTGCAAACCCGCTGATTCTTTGTGCTAGGCTGGCTGTTGGAAGAGTTTGATAGAGTCCAGGCGGCTAAAAGCAGCGGGGTTACACTGTGTAAAAAGTAAGCCTACATCGAGCTCGAGTTCCCGACCCAATTCCAGGAGCTAACAACCATAGGTGCACCATTGGATGTAGGACATGCGGACACGTGCAAGTTCCTGAATGATAACGTGATCTCGCAGGCGACAAAAAGCCTTTTGAGATCTCAACGAGATACGATCGAGCGTTGAGCCCGACTTAAACCGGGACTTGGTTCTCCCGCATCGGCGCTTTGCCCGTGGACATATCCCAATTCGGTCTGTCAGCTGTTGTACGCAACAATGACGAATTCTTATCAAAGACGAGAGGGATCATGGAGGATGACCAGAGAGCGTCGGGCCGTCAAGTTCGAGAGGAACACCCGCGGGCAGCTACTGCCACAACGCAATCTATGCTGGCCATGGGTCACCATCGCATGAGAGCATGCCGTCATACCTAATGCGATCAGTATGGGCCTGGCGGACAAGGCTTGCGACGAACCTTTGGGTTGCCACTCCGGCTACCGCGAGTTTTGCGAGTCTCAAGAACCGAGCTGCCTTTCTTGCCTCACCGGTAAAAACTGCGTTCCAAAGCAAGAGCAAGGCGGAGAATATTCGGCCCTGTGCGACGATGACTAGCTCGCGAGTTTCGCAAGTCTGTAGGCGCAATGCACGCGGTGGAAAATGTCGCAGCGTAGTGGCGTCTGCCTCGAGTCCATGTAACAAGGGCAGACATTCCCCAACACTCCAGCCTCATACGCGCGCCGACTGGTATATACGAGGGCATGCGTACTGGCAAGGCCGTGAGCAGAAACATTTCTTGCCGGTGTGGTTTCGTAGTCGCTCGTGATCGGGCTTTGGCGTCCAGCCTGCATGGGGACTGAGCTACGCAACGCTTCTCACGCAAGGGGCCATTGTTGTTGGACTTTGAAGGCCTTTGGGCTTCAGCTTAGCCCTTCTTCAAACATTTTAACTCATATTTCCTCCAAGCGTCGTCTTAGCCGCTTTGACCAGAGAATGAACCAGGCGCCCATCCCCCTCTTTTTCTCATTTTTTTTTTTTTGCGTCAAACGGTCCAGAGCAGTATCTGACGAAACGCTGCACCCCGAAGCTATGAAGTAAACCCCGCGTTTCTTGCGCATTGTGCCTCTGTGAAATTAAAATGTTCGGCTCGAGCTGCCGCCGAGTTCGACCATTGCTGAGACGAGGGCGTTCCAGGTTGTAAAGACAGAGAGAGACTCGGCGGCTGACTCCCTGATCTGGTCAAGCCCCTAGAAGGGTAAGAGAAAGGAGGGGAGGGGGTAGGTAATTGGGGTGGGTTGCATGCGGCGGCCCTCGTCGTTGAATGTTCCAACAGCCTTAGCCGAGCGCAACATAGCATGATCCCCCCCTCGCCCCTTCCCCCCCCAACTCTTCTTGTCTTCTCATCCTTCCTGTTCTTACTTATTCTTGCTCTTCGGGCCAGTTTCAAACCAGCGCCGGGTTCGCGTCTACCAAGGGGGAGCAGCACGCCCACGGGTGTCATCTGCTCGCGGCCGGATCGGGAAAAAAAGACATCAAGGGTTAAAAATGACGTCCAGGGGGGAGGGGGAGTCCTTTTCAGTTATTTACTTATGCATTTATCCACAATCTCTTGTGCGAGGGGGTGGTGGTGGTGGTGCTGCATCCTCCTGACGTCATTACGTCCTCAATCATGTGAAAGCGCCCGTCCGGAACTGTGCCTGTATGCGGGTTTGAAGGGAGATACAAGAGAGACAAAAGGGGGGAGAAAACAACAATGGGGGTTATGGAATGGTCATCTATTTTCCGGACACACATTGGTGACTCGGACTAAAAGGTAAAGGCCTACCCTGACTCTAATATAGGGTAATGATATGGTATGGTATATGGGAAGACAGGCAAGCAGCGATGCCGCCAGTATCTGGTTGTTGTAAGGAAACGGGAGAAACGAAGAAAATCCTCCTAGATTGATAAGTGAAATAACCAACAAACGCCCCGGGACTTTTTCTTGAAACCTGTCAAAATTCCTCACCTCGCTCCAAAGTCCCACAAAATGTTAAGACGCTCCCAATCTCCCGGGTTTTGGCCGTCCCGGCCGCCGATGCAGTCAACAGACATAGGGAAAATTCCGACATGGGGGTTGCAGCCCACTAAAACGAAACAATAATAGGGGCGGCTATGCCGCGTTTCCCACCACCAGGATCAACAGCATTCCGTTCAGGGCACAAGCCGCAAAGAAGCTGCTGTAGACAGCCACGCGTTGCCAGACGCCCAGGTCGTCGCGGCGGTATAGCGACATGCCCAAGGCAAGACAGGCGCTGAATAGGCTGGCCACGACGCCGACCGTGACACCGGCGTCCACCTCAGCGCGGAGCTTGTGGCGACCAGTTGAGATGAGGATGCCGGCCACGAGGAGCAACAGGAAAGAGAAGCCAAAACAGCCGATGGTGCCCCAGAACAGGACCTGCTCGCGGTACCTTCTGACGTGTTGCTCGCCGACGCTCGGTAAAGTGGCGTAGTGCGTGGCATATCCCGTCGTGGGCATGCCATCGGAGCTGGCATACTCGTCGTCGGTATCGGTACCAAGAGCCGAGATACCGCCGTAACTCTCCAGGAACGGAGCGTTTCCCAGCAGTCGCTGTCCCGCGGGATCCTGTCGCCGCGAAAACCATCTCCTGGCATGGCGAAAGGGTGCAGCAAGGATAGCTCGCATCGAGTCCAGGCCCGGGAAACTCACGTCGTCGTCGGGGTTGATGTAGATGGCGTACTCGTCATCCTGCCCGCCTGCTTCGCTTCCGTCATCGTACTCGTTCCAGTAGTGCTGCTGTTGCTGCTCGTATTGCTGCGCGACAGGACGAGGCTGCCGACGGGCAGGTGGAAGCGGCGAGAAAAACTCGTCCGCGCCGGAACCCGGACGCGTGGGCACCAGCTCATCCGAGAAAGGCGAGCTGGGCTCGCTCAACTGAGGGATGGAAGTGCGCAGAGCATTAAGAAGTTCCTCGTAGCGGGTTTGGAGGTTGTTCAGGTCTCGTCGGGTGAAGCTCTTGGGGTCGGCGAGAACGCCCTCGCGGAAACGCGCGCCGAGCGTGGGAGACCCCGTCCATTTCTTGACCAGAGTTTCAGCACTCGGTCCACAGCAAAACATGCTCGGAGCCTCAACATACCTTGTACTTCTTCGTGATCTTCCGGAAGGCCGTGATTTGAGCGTTTATGAAGCGTGCGAGTGCAAGTGTTTCCTCACCGCAGCGAAGCAGATCCCTCTCGTACTTGGCGAACCTACGGTGGCGCTTGAGCGTCACATGGTCGCCATCCTCGGCGCATTTGACAATCAGCTTCTGGAGCTGGTCGGAAATGTATTCTATACGTCCCGATTAGCCCATCGAACCCACCGCTGCTATTCCCTCCGAATTGGGGCACTCACGCAGTCGTCGTGAAATCTCGTCGGCTTTGCTGGACACGAAAAGGTCGACCCGGTCATGCTGTTGGCAGAGCTCGTTGTAGAGGTTGTCCTCGAATCGCTTGAGAGCGGAGTCTTGATGGCCGGGGATGGCGATTGCGGTGGCCTGGTCGCGGGTCGTGTGGACCTTGATTTCGTGTTTGAGAGAGTTGTAATCGACGTTATCTAGTGGCAGAATTTACCGGTTAGCCGGGCGTCTTCACGTGTAAACTAGGACACCGGAAGGGCATTGAGTGGGCAACGCACGTAAACTCCATTCCGGAACGGATTCCTGCTCGAGCTGTTGGCCGTATTTCATAGTCTTGATGTCTCCCGCGAAGAAACCGTCACCAATTGCGTGAACAGAAGTCGGTAGTGTGGTGCGGTGGGATGCGCTCGGGTAGTGGTGTAGAGACGGCGCAGATGTCGTATTTAGTCGCGTTACTGCTCGGGACTTGGGCCGTGGTCTAGATAAGCGCCAGGGGGGGGGCGGACCGGCTGGTCGGGATGACGCAATGACAGTTACTCGGTCGGTCAATTCGTCTTTGATGCGCGAGTGTGCAGATCCTAGAGGTAGAGAATATGTTCTGCGAGCTGCCGAAGCTATGTGCAGGGTCGGACAGTCGGTTCTTGGGTTAAGTAGAAAGGCAGAGAAGCACTGACGACGACTGGGCTCAATTGAGAGATTGCGGGAGGAGTTGGGCGGCGATAAGTTGTCTAGGAAAAGACGGAAAGTCTAAATACATGTAAAAGAATGGCTAGAACGCAGACGTTGCCTCGCTCGAAAATTGACCAGGGTATGATGAGATGGAAAGTGGGAGGAGAGGGAGGTGTGATGGAAGGTGGACGGGTATAGACATTGGGAGGGGGGCGAAGCAGTGGAGAGTCTGTAGTGTACACTAGAGTGGCAAGGATCTACCGGATACACTGGTTTAACTCGCCCACATCGACTTCATAGGCTAACTGTAATGGACATAGCGGACGCTGTAATCGGTCTAGCTTACTGGCAGAAACCTAGATCAGATACTGGCCGGATTAAACCAGTGTATACGGTATCAGGGCGTTACCTGGTTCAAGACCAGGGGTGTGCTTGCTTGCTTGCGATATGTTAGATGCGGCAATCTGTGGGCGGTCTCGTTGTTTCCCAGTGTACTGTACAATGGTACAACCACGGTACGGGTGGTGGCCACGGGCTCCCAAATGTCTTCGAGATGGAGGTGTGTGTGACATCCTGGAGGGGGAGTATTGTATTGACAGGAACACAGGCACACAGGAACGGGAAAGGCACTTTCAGCATATCAGGCCGATTGCAAGCACTGGCATTCTCAAACCTGACTGGAGGAGCTGCATCGAGACACCTTAGTGTATCCGCCGGGACCAACCCTCCGCAACGCGTACGCTATATCCGTAGATAGTAAGTAAACCAATTGCCATCTATCACTTCCTGACCATTGCTAAGGCCATCTTCGCAACGTAACGCGACGCAGCACGACGCAACACAGCGCAACACAGCGCAACGAAACAGACGGAGCTCGGTTGCATATCGTCGAATAATATCACAAAAGATTACTTTGAAAGCCATGGAAACCTACCTACCTCGGCAGAGCACAACCCTTCTTCTGTTCTGCTACAGCAGCAGCAACAGCCCCAGCACCGCGGCCTTGGTGTTCAGGGAGGATGGGCCTGGAATGCGAAGACAAAAGGTGGAAGGAGCAACGGGGGAGGTGGGGGCAATGAGGGGTGCTTTGGAAGGGACGGTCTTGGCTCGCAGTAGCAGAATTGAGTGGTGCAGGAGACCCTCGTCTCTATGACGCCGGTGGTGTAGGTGCCACTGTGCCAGCCAACCACATGAGGGGACATTTTGGATTTCTTGGCACGCTATAGCAGCGTAGCAGCACCCTGCGATGGCGTGTATCGTGACTCTGAACGGACGGGACTGGGACTCTCCTTGCCATGGTTACAATGCCGTGCGTGGCCCATTCAAGTCTCCGGGTTAGGTTTTGAACAGCGGGGCCCCTTGAGCCCAGGTGGTGCCTGTGTATCCGTTGATGATGATTCCTCGCCTGCAGGTATTCGCCCGCAGGGCATTACAGTCATGGAGCAGCAGCAAGTGGATTCGGAAACATCAGCCGCTGCCCGGGGCTTGCTTCCTTCAGGGTCTCCCTCCTTCGGAAGGGGACAGCGACATAGGCCCGGGAGAGCCACCAACAGTCGCATTCCATCCCCTCCCCAATCGATGGGGCCGATGCTGGGCGGGTAACGGTACACCCCCGAGCATCTGATTGTGTGGTTGACGGTGGCCCAACACGGGCTCGCATGTGGACTGGCAGAGATTGCGAGAGGTGAGAGGGTGGGTTTGTCCATCAGCATTGGTGTTGTAGCCGCGGATGTGATAAGGTTTGCGATTCGCACCAAGTGAGCGTAGTTCGAGGTTGTGTTAGGTTGGGATAGGTTGGAGTCGAAAGCGACGGTATGTTTCTGCACTGGTGGGAGTGACTAAGTGAGCATTTTGCATAGGCAGTATCCGTACAGTACGTAATGAGAGGGAGAGTTGCCGACACAACATGCTCCTTCCCCCGAGGACCCCTACTTATCGACCGCTGGGAGACGTGCAGTTGAACAGGCATTCCAGACAAGGCCCCCGTCGCCCAGTCATAACATGGAGCCGTCAGGGAGGGTTGTCCCAGGTCCGTATTGGGTAGGTGGGTACCTAACCAGCCCAGCCAGCCATTTCCTTCCTCTTCCTCTCCATCGTGCAGGCGGTTCCAGCCGTGTCTCGGCCGATCCTGCCTTCTACGGTCTTCGCTGCGACCAAACTCAACATCAACACCTCCATCATCTTGGCCTCAACTTTGACGAGGTAGGCCTCAAAACCCTGGCACTCTGACTGGACAGACGAACGTGCAGTTTGGTGGTCTGATGTTCTCGTTCTTTTTCCGACCTCGCACCCAGGAGCGGCTCTCGGACTTTTGTCCATTGAATGGCTATTCTGGGTCGCAATGGATTTGCACAAAACCTTCACCCTACGAATATCTACTCGCCCCGACCCCATCTAGGCCCGGCAAAACGCAAACATTGTGGGAGGAAGGAGAGTGGGCCGCGTCTGAGGGCATGCATCTCATCAGAAGAAGGCGTTTGCCAACCCTGTCTGACCTGAGGTATGTGTTGCACGCCGCAACTTGCAGTCTGTCTCGTCATATCCATAAATCGTGAATTAACATCACTCGTTCAAGGTACATTTGCGTTACTCGGGGTATTCGCCATTGCAATCGCGACCCTGTCCATTCGCTTGCATCCGGCACACCCGAGGCATTAGGCTACATGATTGGTCTTCCGCGCTGTTATCGTCCACGATGTAGCGCAGCATCGATGCTTGCTTGGCACAGATAGAGTGACAGCCTCTTTTGCAATGAGTACCTCCCTCCTTCCATCCGTAAGCGGCAAACGAGCACATGCGCAAATTCCTCAATCAGCCACCACGTCCCACCCCGGCTGTGTCGCGACAAGATAAGCTTCGTGCCATGTCCATGACTGGCCATCGTCTCGGCTGGGTGCCCATGCCACGACCACGAGCAAAGCCCAACCAAGCCAAATCATGCTGGCACTTCGTCCATGGAGATGCGCCTACCTACTGTGTAGGGGTCTACAAGCTACAGCTGCACACGCTGCTCGGCATACCTATCACCTCTTCAGCCATATCTCTGCACACCCTCAACGCCTCTCGGCTGACCTAATCGAAGGCCCATTTTTGGTTTGTACGACCCGACGAGGGACCGCCTCGGGTACGTATTCCAGGCACATCGGACTCATGTGTCGCCCAATCACCGCGCGAGGAAAGCCAGCTACTGTAGGGTTTGCTAGCAACCACACAATCACCGAGACCATTGAGTGCTGAGTAAGAATGCACCAAGTGCTGAACGACACTTGCTCGACCAACTCAACGACTTACGAGATCTCAGTAATCACATTTACTGGTTCCCGCCAGTTAATTCTCAGGAAACGATACGGATATACGGATATAACTATACTATGTATGGCCTGGCTCACTCACCTCAACCCACTCCCCCCTCTTTCCACCACCGCGAGAGACGTTGCGATGGGGGGAATCAGCAAGTAGTCGCAAGTCCGCCTTTGCCACCCTTACTCTGTTCTGCCCAGGGTCCTGCTCACCGGCTTGGAGCCCGCGGCGAGCCGGCTGCAAACCTCCACTTTCAGTCCTGGGTTGGATCAGCAAATACCGTCTCTTGTATAGCCCACGTGCTCAACTCGGGAGATCTATTGGTCTCATCGTCCCATCGCCCATAGCTACTCCACAATGCGAATGTGCCGTCGATGCGCATCGTTATCCATGATCATGGTATTTTTGACGTTACAGCCACTGCGATGGGTTGCTGCCGGTAGGCCAATTTGCCTCTGCCTTCAAGACAATTAAGACGCCAAGCGGTGATTCGAGTATGAGTGCCTCAGTACGTTGACGAGTTTCGGTATAAAGCACAAGCAAAACAAGGGAAAAGGAAGGACTGTGCGTGATGCAATATGCGACGTTTCTCTGTTCTCAAAGTTCTCACCTCGGACCGTCCACTACATCAAGCAACGAAAACAGCATGCTGCTGCCGGACCCGTTGAAGGCTTCAGGAGTGGGCCGAAGCGGCAAGTGCACGTAAGTCATCCATTACATCGTCGTGCGCCTCTCGATGACCTGCAGTGCTGTGGTTCTCAAAGGTCTGGACAATACTTTGTCATCGGTTACGAAGATATTTTGGGCCGAGGCTTTGACCCCTGGTGGTCATGCATAATCTCCAGAGCACCCGTACATGCTGCAGATAAAATTCTACAGCGAGGCGAAGGACTTTCAAACGCCGCCACCCGTCTAGGAGCCGCATCCTCGCCTAGTCCTAACGGCCCTGCAACGAACAGCGTGGTAGCCTCTGTTGCGTTCACGCCTTCCGTGCGTGCGTATGAGATGCGGGCTGAGGGGGGTCCGTCAGCCCCCAAGTCCCGCTCCTCGGGCATCGCAAGTGTAGGCGCACCATTCTAATCCATATTCGTCAACCTCGGCCCCGTTGAAAGAGTTATCAACTGGGGCAGAGGACATCTGGCTCCCAATAGAAGCAGAGTAAGAGTGCCAGCGGCCGCTGCTCAAGGAATCTGCTCGTGTGCCCTCCAGGACCTCCGTTTAATATACAGGTGGTGGGTGGGTGTATGCTTATATCCCGTTACTGGTGCCATCCGAAAATTGATCCGCCGGCCCGCGTTGATTTGTGACCTTTTCCCCAAACGCTCCGGTCCCGCGACCCCGCGCGCTCGAGGCCTCTTTTCACATGAGCACAAACATTGACGCTCGGTCGACTTCTATCGGGTGTTTGGGGCGCAAACAGAAGCGGGGGATGGAGGGGGGGTTGGTCTCGGGGCAGCATCATGTGGAATGGAGAATCCACCCATTTATGACTAGGTGGAAGGCACACAGAAAAGGAAGTCGGTTACGGGGGAACGACACCGTTTTGTGGTTCAGCCGGCACCTCGGACCGTAGGCCGGTGATGAGCCGCAGTCTAGATCCGTTACCCATACCGATCTCCTAATCCAGTGAAGAAACTCACCTCACCCCACCGGGGGGCGGGGCGGTGGGCGACTGACGCTCAACATCGCACTCCGCCGCGCCAGGGCCGGAAATCCTTACTTCCTTCCACCCTACCCGCTCCTGAAGACTGGGTGGGTTTGGCAGTTGTCCTACACTACGTCGTCGTGGCATCAGATCGAGGGCTGCCGATCCGATGCGCGGCCGACAGCCCGGGTGGCTTCCCAACACGGCTGGGGACACCTGCGTGGTATACCAATCTCTCACCACGCATGTGCACGCCAGACTACAGAGCATTGCCTGAACTGGATGCGGTCCTTTTCTTGGTCTGGGAGGTGGCGCGTCGAGCCCGTAAGATGGCCCCCCGTACACTGCGAAACGTCTGCCTCTTCAGGATGAGGCGGGTGGGGACCCAGGTATCTCTCGTTTACCTGCCGAAGAGGGGCCGCAATGGACAACTTTCGAGACAAAAAAAAAGTAGAAATTGGGCAAAGTACATCAGGGAAAACATGATCAGAAGAAGCGAGAGAAGGGGGGTTAAATCCGGCCTCACGCCGACATGCTTCCGTACTTTAGCGAGAGTCCTGACCAACGAGGAAGCGAGAGGGGGGAGGAAAAAATATTTGCGATGCAGGCCCCGCGGCGTGTTTCGCAGCCAATCACGACGACAAGGTGACATGTCGAAAAGAAAACTTGACGATGAAGGGGGGAGGGGCTCGTCTCCCAACTTTTTCTTTCATTTTTTTTCTTCCTCTCCTTCCCTTCTTCTTTCCCTCTGTTTTTTTTTTTTCTTTTCGCGGTCCGACTGTTTTGTGCGCTCTCTACTTCCTTCGATGATTCGGGTCACCCGGCTCTAGTCGCCGAGATGCGGCTCCAGGATCCGGCGGTTGAGGAGAATGGGGTTGCATTCGGGGGTTGGTGGGGTCCGCGTATGTAGTATTTTTCGGGCCGCTGACCTGAAAAAGAGGGAGAGGGAGGGGGGATCGAGGTCGTATCGTGGGTTTGAGGCGTTGCATCGGCTGGATGCTTACTTGGCGCGAGAGGCTGGCCTTGCTCTTTTGAATCTCTCGAGGCTCGCTCGCCCGGCGACGCTGCTTACTAACTAGCGATGGTCTTAGATACTTCAGGTCCGGGCCTTGCTAAACAGCTTTTCAAAGGAACGGATGACTCTATCGTGGCTCATTTCCCTCTTCGTAGGAGACTAGATTGTGGATACTCAGGGGCGGGTATTGGCTTGATGATGGAGCGATGAGCGACGTGCTGTGCCGGGGAGAATGGCTGGAAACCCCAATTTCCCCGACCAGCATGGTACTTCGATTTCCGCCCATATCCGACCCGTTTCCGCTGTGATAACCCAAACGGTCCCTACGGTCTTCAGCCCTCAATGCACGAACATCTTTCCTTACCACCAACGGCAAGTGCTCAGCCGCGCCCCGCTCCTCGCTCGAATGCAATATTCGAGAGGCTGAATTAACTACCAGGGTGCATCTACCGGTCCCTGTTTCTTTGTTGGCGTCCGAAATCGAAAGCGTTGATGATGTGGCGTGTGCAGGAATGTAGGTCGGAAGGCTCAACAGCGGCGTTGACTGACAATCGCCGTCAGTGCCGTAAACCAACGAGATCTTCTCCGGGTTCTCCCTTCGCTGAAGAAGTGCTACCCCGAGCTGTCCGGAAGAATGGCCATCTGTCCTCAGAATTGCTGTAGTTGAGGTAGACATGTTTGAAGGGATCTGCTTTAGGACCGATAAGGTCCTGACAGCCAAGTCTGTGGTCCCGCTCTTGGAAGAAACGCGAAGCCTCTTATTAGAGCGGTTGGCGTATTCATCGCATTCAGCAGAGCGCTTTTGTGATACCGTCGTCGTCGTCGTCATCATCCTGTCTTCTGAGATGGGAGGCAGGCAAAAAAGGGTTGGCAGTTGTCTGCCTGTATGATAAACCGCGATCGATGTACCACAATGTGAAAATTCTACCCTGGAATCGGACCTGACTAGGTGTACCTCCATTGTGGGCATACCGGCTGAGTGGAACCTCTCCGGGTGGTCTTGTAAAAGGAAGAGTGATTGTTAGCCTTTCATCGATGGCCAGGAAACATGTCCTCGGCACAGATGGGGTGAAAAGGGAAACTAACCTGCGTCTTGGAAACGCCACAGCATGATGTCTGGGCCTTCCAGGAATAACAACAAAGGCATCGTTGGATGAAACTGGCAACAAGCCAGCATAATATTTGAACATGGCTTTATGGACGCATATTTGACCAGAGACGGCGCTCGACCAGAGGCGAACCCCTCTGAAGTGTCAAACACGGCCAGACAGATATCTCCAGCAGTGGTGACGTCGGAAAAGCCGAGATATTTCGAGTCTGGGCTCCAGAAGATTTCGTACGAGTAGCCGGCGCTAAATGTGTGGCACGGGCCCCAGATGGTGCGTCGTGTCTCGTTGAAGTCGATACGAAGACTGGTTGGGCGGTGTCGTTGGCCATCTTTTCGGGCCAGGAACACCTTGTTGAGGAGGGTGAAGCCGTGGAGCCCAGGGTCGATTGTCAACGGAAAGCGACATTTCCATCCCCCCACGGGCGAGAACCAAAGACCTTGACGCAAGCATATCTCGATGTCGGCGGCATCCAAGTCGTGCAACGTACAGATCATCCTTTCAGAAGCCTCCCCGGCGATGGAAAACACTTCGTATCTTGCGATCCAGCCTACGCACGTATCTTGCACCTCCTGTAGCGTTTGAGGACACCTGGCAACTCGGCTGAATGCCTGGCCTGCTGGACGTGATATGGTGCCATCATATGTGTAGCATGGTATGTCCCCATGCTCATTCCAGCCCATTCTGAAGTATCTTTGGGCCACGACACGTCAGTAGGCTGTTTACGCACGGGACGTGAAGACACCCTCGGTTACTTACTTTGAGGGAAAGATGCCGAGGTTAGCAAGGAGAGAGCCGTCGGGTGAAGTCATGCTGGTTGAGAATGTAGGCTTGACGGAGAGTTCGGGGTCTTGAGTCCCGGGTATACGTAAGTTAGAAGCAAGCGTCTCGACGTGTACTGCTTTTGTCTTCACGAGGAACTTGCTCGTTGTGAATGCCGTGACGTCCCTCCAAATCTCGGCAGGACTCTCCTCTAATGATGGTCCCCATTCTCGGTGCATTACCTTCACATCCTCCATGAGGCCCTCCAAACCCTGCAAGAAGATTGTGCTTTGGCTCGAACCCGAGAATTTACCTACAAGGCTGTATCTTTGTCGCGAGCTTTGATATCCGAGGAGGCTAGTCGCGACACCAAGGGTATACAGTGACTCAATCCATACCATGAGGCCGAGTCCCATCTTTAGATATCGAAGACCGAGTGTGATCATTTCCTCTACGACTTCTGAGTTGCGAGCCGTCGTGTCGTCCATCATGAGGGCGTCGATTGCCAGTGCCGCCCATTTCGCGGCGGAGACCTGGAGCAGAGGCCACTTTCGCCGTACTTCAGTCCGGTCGGCGCTTTTGTAAATATCTCCGGACAGAGGTTTCTGAGGCAGGCTGAAGGCAAGGTAAGAGATGCACCGACCAGCCATAATGGCTTTGGCCTCGGGCGGCGGAGGAATCAGACTGCTCCGTTGGACGAAATCCAAAGCCGTCAGATGGATGTACTGGTACGTGCCGTGCGGGCCCTTTTCTATCAGCCCACAGCAAGAAAGAACGACTGCGTGATCGAAGCGGGTGGTTGCACTGCCGTCGTCCATGTCCCAGCCCTCAGGACAGATGGCCTCTCTCAGCTCGGGTGATTGGAGCGATGAATGCGCTGCCCAGGTGAGGGTATTCTGGGCGAGGTTCTTGCTGTGGGTGTCCTGCGATAAAAGTCGCTGACTGATGCGGCAATACATATCCTCCAACCGGTCCAGGCCTTCCGATGGTGGTCTAACGGCAGAATCGAGGCGCTGCGCCTTGGTCATGCTCGGCACACTCAGAAAAGTCACCATGAGCCTCACCCAGAGGAACATACCCTCTGCATGGTCAAGTAAACACTGGACAACGTGGTCCTGATCGGCATGGGCGGGAAAGAGATCTTCTCGAAACAACTGATCCACTTGAGATGCGAGATAGCACCTGATGTCTTGCTCCAGCACGGAGGCCGTAATTTCAATCCGGCTCTCTTTCGGTGCCAAGCGCCGCAAACTGGCCACGTCAGGCCGGCTGGCCACCATCACTTTTAATGGCGTGGTTTCGCACCACTTCAGAAGCCACGCGACGAGCTTCGAGACGTCTTTGCACTCGTCGAGCCCATCGATGACGAAGTGCAAATTCGGCAAGTGGGGCAGGCATTGCGTGATTGTTTCGATCACTTCGTTTTCGGAGGCGGCTTTTTGGAACTGAACTCCGGTCGAGGCGAGAACGAAGATGTTTCGGATTCTCTCGAGTTTGTGGAAATGGTGGAAGATTTGGGCGGCGATGGACCGGAACACGTGAGCGAGGGAGTTGCTGTTGCCAGCCGTCTGGTTGAAGATGTAGTAGCACACCTCGGGGGGGTAGTCGGCATTGGTGGTGTAACACTTGCCGAGCTCTTCTGCTGTCGATGCCGAAAGAATGGTTTTGCCCGAGCCTGGCTTCCCTAGAGGATCGTCAGTCACGTGGTTCTACATGCGATGAGTCGAAAGCCACGGCCTCTCACCGCTGATCCAAAGGAACTGTGAGGCTGTCCCGGTCTCGACGCCAGTATGATGCTCAGGCCTGTCATAGTTGCGCCAAGACAGGAATTTAGAGTCTTCCAAAAGCCATTCTGTTGTGCCTTCTGCTTTTTGATCGAGTGCATGTTCAAGAGAAGTCTTGATGTCGGGCGGATCCAGCCACCGCATGGCAGCGTCGTTAAGCTTGACTAGAAGAACACAATCAGACGTTTCCGCTGCCACGCTGCTGCCGTGAAAGAGTATTCAAACTCACGCTGTAGTTGTTTGTTGAAGGCGTCTTCTATCAGGTCCAGCCGGGCAGCTGTCTCCATCCGTCTTTGTTGGTCGACTGCTCTGACTGTCGAGGCCAGTGAGCCCATCTTCGCGTACCCGAGTTCTTCCTTGACGATTCTCTGGTGAAATGTGATCTTTTCTATGATCTGCTCGAACCTGGCGTCGAATGGATGCCAAGCCAAATCGGCAAGTATGGCTGGCGTTCGTTTTATCCCTATGCGAGGACGCTACCAATTAGCACGATCTCTTGTTTACGAGCAGAGCTTCTTTTTTCTTTTTGTTTCTCATCGTGGACCTACTTCCGCACTTCTTTGAAAAGATTCGCGCTACCGCCCCGTAGAACTCGAACAGATGGCAGTAAACCTTTTGGAGAGATTCCGTCAAGGAAGGACTACAAATTCCTGGGTCTTTGGAGAGGGCATCATAGAGCTCCTGGTACCGAGGTAGTCTGGCAGCAATCTTACTCAAAACATCGCTGAGTTTCTCAAAGAATGTCACAAAGTGACTGGCAAGCTGGAATCATGGCTGTGAGCAAAAGACTCCGGAAAGCGGTAGCGTGTATTTGGATGGTCGCACGACTGCAGCTGCTCAAAAAGAACGAGAGATGCTAATTACCTTCAAGACCAGAAGAAGGCCTCCCAGGGCAAGATTGGCAAACTCGGGATTCGATCCACAGAAGATCTCCATGATGCCGAAATAGGGGGTGAGGGTGTCGCCAAAGGTCTTTATCTTCTTGAGGCATCGTGTCACCAGTGACCTCCGCGTACCGAGGTGCTGCAGGCTTTCGATGGCTTGCAAAAGTTCGTCGACGGATGAACACTTGGCAAAATTCGCCTTCTCTGATTCCGAGAGCAACGCTATAAAATCATCGCGCGCTTTGATGAAAGAATTCTCGCCTGAGCTTGCATGGTCATCTTTGGGCATAGTAGTGACTTCTTGTCGAAAGCGTTGTCAATGTCGTGCGAGGAGTGATGGTGTCTTCGCTGGTGTTTCCAACTGGGTACAGCGCAACATAAGAGGGAAGCTGAGCGGGAAGCTTACATAGTATCACATGGGGCTGTGTCTGCACACCCAAGCCAATGGGGATAAAGACATGGCGCTTATCACATTACAGGGGGCGCGGTACGGGAGGCTCCAGGATTCGCCCAAATTATTGTGCAACGTGAGGAAAAGCGGCTGAGCTCACCCAACCCCCTGGGTGAGTGGCAGTCTCTGTGATTGTGTGAAGAAGAAAGGGGTAACAAGCAAGCATATCCATTCCGTCTCACTCGAGAGCCCCGGATCTGGTACTGTCCACGTTCTTGACCACAGTGAATGCCAAAAGCGATCGTGCATTGGATATAATTGTCGAATCCAGGATACCCGTTTGAAACTTGCAGCCCCAACGTCACATCTCGTGTTGTTGGCACAGGCAGAATGCGCAAACCAGCCTATCGCAGCTACACTGAGAGCAATTTTCTCTCTGGGTAAATAAACCTCCTGGCTTTACGTTCTATATGTGCAGAGGCGTCAATATGAGCAACCCTATCGTGGTGGTCTGATGCCGAACGTTGGCCCTCGGGCTGTCTCTGCGTTAATAGCCGAAAATATCGAAAACCATGGAGCCGCATGGCAGTGACAGCAGAACGGTAAAACGGCCTATTGCCTACTTGATCGGTGGTAAGACATGAATCTCCAGCCTTCCCTGTCGATCCGGGGGGCTAGTATTCCAACAGCAAGACAAAGTTGTATCAAGCAGCTTATCTCAATATCGCGGTGTCGTGTGGATGCATTCGGGCATCGCCGTCAACCGTCAATCGATCCTTAATTAGGGCGAAGCATATGCAATGCATCCGCTCATAACAATGGAACTCAAGGAACGACTTCAAGTGTTCTCAATTCATTCCGAACCTCCTCTTCTCGTACAAGTTCCGGTCCAGAATCACGGTTAGGCTGCCTGTCATCCCGGACGTCAATTACACCAAGCCGATAGGCTACGAGACGGGGCGCTATCCGTTCTCTAGGCTCGCGGGTACTTCCTAAAATGCCGAGGGCTCCTTCGTCCACAACAAAGAGCTGCGCAAGCATGGAGATGGGGACGACGAACAAGATTCCTAACGACAACATCGTCAAATGGGCCCGACCCCTCGTGTTCTGGTGCCGGCAATTGAAGAACGGACAACGGGACAACCCGGAACATGATGGACGGCTACCCAGGCGCCAACTCCGCCGAAGGCCAGGGCCGCCCACGGTCTTGACTGTCGGCAACATCAACCGCGCCGCCATCGGGAGATCATTCCTTGTCTCGGTTTGGGGTCGTGAAAGAGGACGGGAGCAAGTTGCCGGTTAGGACAGAGGCCGTGTTGAGCCGGTGGCACGTGGCCGGATGCCGGAACTGTCAGAGCCACCTGGGGGTTCGGGCGCATATATCCCGATCAAGGGCCGGAGCGCGGACGAAGCAAAGAGGACGCGTTGCGAGGTCGGAATGTCACACTCGGACGCTTCAAGCTGGGGGGGGGGGGGGGGCTCTTCTCGATAGAAGGGTAGAATCCTTCAACTTGTGACTGGTTAATTTGGGGCCACTCGGCATGGAAGCGTAACAGATGCCATGGCTGCGGTCCTGTGCTTTTCCAATTCTGCCCGGTTACCAGTGGATCGGAACGCGTCCCGAGAAGTGTCGGGCCGGACTTCGCCGCCCGCGGGCCGCATACCTCCACCGGCCGCCGCTGACTGACTGTAAGGGGCCGGCAGGCCGCGGACCAATCATCAGCTTGGCGCATCCGTTATAAGCAATACCGCCCCTTTGAAGAGCAGACGATCGGCGTGCTCCCGCAGAGAGAGAAATCCCCGATACCGATATCAGGGACTGCGTGGACGATCGACACCATGCCCCCTCCACCCTCCATACACACACACACACATCCTCCATGTGCAGCTTTCTTTAGTCCAGTCTTTTCAACCTAGTCTTTACAGGGTTGTAGACGTTCGTCAAGTGAGAGGGGTCGGAGGTCGGATGCCGAAGGGGAGTAGTTGCCAAGCCCCCAGAGTCTTTTGGTCATGCCCCCTTGCAAATGCTATCGACAGCCGAACGAGGCGTGAACGAGCGAAGCCTCGTAACGGACCCTTCGAAAGACCCTTGGGACAAAAGAGGGAAGGGAAAAAAGAAAAAAAAAGTGGCGATGTGTAGGAGCGTCTCGGACAGCTAATCGATGCTCGATGAAACTGGACCCCCCCGGAACGTAGCTGGACGAGTGAGGAGTAAGGTACCGCTTCGCGAGGCCCGACCAGAAATTTTCTTCATGCACGGCGGTGGAAATGTGGACTTCCGCACTCGGGAGCACCTCGGCAGCAGTGTCCGATGGGGATGGTAATGGAACGGAGCTAAAGGGTCTGAGAGGGCCTAAAAATGGCACTAAACACAAGAGGGCAGGATTATCGGATGTACGATTTCAGGGACAAAGACGGGAGAGATAAGAGAATTCAAGTTTGGTTTGTATATAGTCGTGATATCATTGGTATAATGCCTGATAGCTAACTCTTTAAAAAAAAAGGTGTAAAAATAAAAAGATTTAGACAACAAATGCTTTTCGAGGTATTTTCCTTATCACATGGTTTCCCGCCTGGATAGATTTCCGGTGGGAAACTTTTTCAACTTTGTTCTTATTTTTACAGACGGGCGGTCTCCTGGGCCTCGTCGATGATCATCTCGGCGGCCTTCTCGGCGACACCCAGGACGGTCAGCATGGGGTTGATGGTGGGGATGGTAGGGAAGATGCCGGCGTCGACGATGCGGACGCGCTTGAGGCCCTTGACGTTGAGACGCTCGTCGACAACGGCGAGCGGGTCCTTGCGGACGTCGCCCATCTTGGTGGTGCCGACGGGGTGGTAGACGGTGTGGGCGGCGCGGCGGGCGTAGAGGCTGAGCTCCTCGTCGGTCTGGACGGCGGGCCCGGGGGCGACCTCGCGTGCGATCCAGTCCTTGAAGGGGGCCTGCTCAGCGACCTTGCGGGCAGCGCGCATGCCGTAGACGAGGGTGGCGGCGTCGTAGCCCTCTTCGTCGGTGAAGTAGCGGAAGTCGAGGGCGGGCTTGACGCTGGGGTCGGCCGAGGTCAGGTAGAGGCGGCCGCGGGAGCGGGGGCGGGGGATGTTGGGGGTCATGCAGAAGGCGTAGCCGTCCTTGGGCTCGTCGTAGCCGAGGCGGGCGGTGTTCAGGGTAAAGGGGATCTGGTAGCAGTGCATCATGACGTCGGCGATGTCGCCGTCAGGGATGCCGTCGGGGTTGAAGAAGGTCTTCTTGGCGGCGGCGTTGGGAGGCTCGCGGCGGAGGAAGATGCCTGCGTCCGAGTCCATGGTGGTCTGGTTGGGGGGTACGGGCTTCTTGAGCTCCCACATGATGATGGACTCGGGGTGGTCCTGGAGGTTCTCTCCGACGCCGGGCAGGTCGTGGATGACGGGGATGCCGAGGTCGACGAGCTGCTGCTTGGGGCCGATACCAGACAGGAGCATGAGGCGCGGGGTGTCGACGGCGCCGGCGCAGAGGACGGTCTCGGCGCGGGCGGTGACAGTGCGCTTGGAGCCGTCCTGGAGGGTGAGGTTGACGCCGGTGACGGTGTCGCCGCGGACATTGATCTTGGAGACCCAGGCGTTGGTGAGGACGGTCAGGTTGGGGCGCTTCTCCTCTCCGCGCAGGAAGGGGTGGATGTAGGCGACGGAGGCGCTGGACCGGCGGCCGTCGTCGGGGTTGTAGGAGATGGAGAAGAAGCCGACTCCCTGCTTCAGGGCGCCGTTCTGGGTGATGTGCTTGTTGAAGTTGTGGAGGACGGGGATGTCGAGGGCGGAGCTGCACGAGTTAACCCAGTCGAGGCAGAGCTCGTTCTGGTGGCGGGCGTGGACGGGCTGGACGGTGTTGCGCAGCTTGTCCATGATGCGCATGAAGTCGTGGAAGGTCCAGCCCTTTGCGCCCATAGACTGCCAGATCTTCAGATCGTACTCGAAGGGTCTGAAGGAGATGAGGGTGTTGTGTGACGAGCAACCACCCAGGACCTTGGCGCGGGAGTGGCGGATGTGAGAGTTGCCTATGGGTGGTAAGAGTAGAGTGTTAATTTCGGCGGTCAATCAACCGCCGCCCGGCGACTCGGAACGGGCTGACGGGGCGGGGAGCAGGTGGAAAGAAAGGACAAGAAGCTTACCCATGGGCTGTTCAGTGGTGCCGTAGTCGTAGTCGAGCTCGCCTCCGAGGAGGTTCAGCCATTTCCGCAGGTCCAGCACGCGGTCGTCCATGAAGTCACTGGGACCGGCCTCGATTAGGAGGACGCGCTTCTGAGGCAGGGACTCAGCCAGACGAGAGGCGACGACGCAGCCGGCGGTGCCGCCGCCAACAATGACATAGTCGTAGCGGTCGACATCGGAGGCGGGGAGCTGGGTGGTGGACATTTTGGCGGATCGAGGAGTGAGAGGGTGAGGGTGAGGGTATTCAAACGAGAGGGAATGCGGGCGCCCGGCCAGCGAAATCGGGATGAGGGGTAGCTTGTCGGTTTATACGAACAAGGGGGGGTAAGACGGCTGAAGAACGCGCGGGCGATCTTTGGTGAGATTGGGGGGGATCTTGGGATCAAATAGAGTTGGAGGGCTGGCGAGGGCACGGATGGGAGTAGAATAAAAGAGAGGAAGAACTCGAGACGGCCGTCCTATGTTGATTTCAAGTGGATATGCGGCCGCATTATCTATGATCAATGACAACTGGGACTCCTCAGGAGACCCATCCTTGGAGGGAGGGAGATAGGTAGCTCGACCGTGACATTCTCGAAGTTCAGCTGGCGGGCTTGGGAAGCCACAAGGGACCTCTTCGCGCCGGTGCAGACAAGACGCAGGACGGTGGAGACGGACCCCGCGAAAATGTGTGGCGGGGCCATGGGAGGGAAGCGGGTCTCGAAGGCATTGCAACTGACTCGCCGCACTTTCTGAGGCGGCACCCACAACCGGGGCCGGGAACAGAGCGGGAGGCGGCGGCTCAAGGCAATGGGGTTGATGGCAGGTTTTCCCTGTGTTGCTTCTTTTCTTTTTCTTTTTCTTCTCTTTCCCTTCTGTGTGTTCTTTCTGGCGCAGCGAGGTACGTACACTAAGCTGACTATGCAGTATCCATACATGCATGCATGGTATAGGTACAACCAGTCCTTCTTGCCCCCATTATCCACCGGTCTTGCAGGCTGCAGTTGGTTCCTTCCTTGTCCGCGATAACATCCCTGAGAGACATCAGGACCGGATTTTCAAAGTTCCAGGTTTTCTGACTGGTCTGACGGCGGAGGGTAGGGGGGGCCCTGCCGGACTAACGCTTTCTGCACAGCTGGCAGCCAACAATTGTGTCAGCAACGCCAACCACGATAAACGGCGCTTGGTGTACGGATACGGAGTAGGTACGTACACATACAAAGCTGTGGCTGCCAAGTCTTTCCGCGACATCCACCTGGTGGAAACTGTCCGACGTCGAAATACAATTACGAATAATGGCCAGAGGCTCCAGACACGAGAGAGGGAAAGAGAGGGGGGGAAATTCAAGTGCCGTAGCTGCTCGATGACGTCTCGACTTTTTTTTTTTTTTTACTGCCTAGTCGTCCTCGATCGGCCTCATCCAATCTTAGCTGCGTTTTGGTTTTCCCCATTGCCTTGTCCACGGTGCCCCACGAGGAATGCTGGGAGCGCGCTCTCTTCGTGTCTCCCTTGTCAACCGCATCGAACCAGCGTAGCACCGTCGTTACCGACCACGACTCTCTAGCTTTTTTTTCCTTTTTTCCTTTTTATTTTTATTTCCTCCCCTGGTGGTGTGTTGCCCGGCGCGCCAGGGATGGTCACTTGGTAAACCACATATGGCGCCATAATAGTCACTCGCCTGCCGTTGGATTCAGGCAAATGCAATGCATATGCAATAATTGCGGCCGACATTCCCCAAACTGCCGTATGCAACCCGCGCTAAGCCCTCGGGTCTTATCCCCTACATGTTGGCAAGTTCTGTCCGCCTGACGATACCGACAACGACAAACGACTAAATTCTCGCGCCGTCGAGACGGGGTGGGGGGACGAAGAGGTGGCGCAAGTTGACTGGCTGCGTCTACCACGTTCGGCCTCATCCGGGGCATCCGCCGACTCGTGTGCCCCGGGATGGGGGCAACCTCTTGGCCTTAGTCCTCTGTTGGCCGGTTTCCAGCTTTCAGGCTCTTCATCCCTGGGCGGGGGGCTGGGGAAAAAAAAGATCACCATTAGCGGATAGTGCACTTTGCAGAATGCGGCGTGGTCAAGGGTCATCAGCAAGGAAAGAAAAGGTGCTTGTGTCATGTCAGTTGCAGATTCTCCCTTGAAGGATAATTTGACGAACTCTCGCTAAACCACGATTGCTCACGGAGAGTAGAGTAGAGTAGAGTCAGTCGGCAGGCGCAGGCGTGAAATACGTGTGTACTGTACTGTACTGCGAGAGCTGTTCATTCGCTGTTAAGCATAGGCCGTTTTTCTTTTCTTTCTCACCTGATATCGATCCCATGCAGCTACTATCTGGCTACAGCCGCATCTGGCCCTATCTCTTCCGCCGTATCTCTGTGCCGATTGTCCGCGGCTTGATGTCGCAGCTGACTGGGATGCATCGTTCGATTTTTCTTTTCTCAACGGTCAGATCCGGGTCCTGCGTCAAATATTGATCCATGTCGCGCCAGCCACAATGCAGCCAAGACCGTCTCCAAAAAAAAAAAAAAGGGAAAAAAAAGAGAGAGAAAATGCCTTCTTGGTACCATAGACACCAAGGCTGAAACTTCTTCAAGTGGAGGCTGCTTGTCTTTCGGGTACATGGGTACTTCTACACGTACTTGCACCGGTGCTTCAACACAAAAAACGCAGCAATTATTCCTGGTATTTCAGGCTGTAGAGTAGAGTTGCATCCGTGTGGATTTCGGGCCAATGACGTACTACTATAGCCCATGACATCACACCGCTGCAGCAACGGACCCACCGGGGTGCGTCCCGACGAGTCTGCTACCTCCCCCCGACAGCTGGTCCTAGCTTTTGTCTGCCCGTATCCATACCTAGGTACCAGCCTACCATACCTAGGTACTAAGGTACGTCTACTGCGTGGCCACCCACGTTACTAGATCAAGGTAAACTCGAGATAAGGCCGGCCCCCCGTTGTCGTCAAGATCCCGATCTTACTCCGGTCTCTGCACTTTTCGACTTCCTTCCCAGCCTGACTACCTCCGGCCTCCGCGTGTTGTTTGTCACCCCCGGCCGAACCCCTCCCCCCGTTCGACATTCCATCCCCGGCAATCTCCCCCGTCCAAACCGTCCATCACACATTCCACTATACCCCCTCCTTTGTTAAGCTGATGCTCGTTGTATGAGTACGGATACCTCCTAAGAATTATATCCGCTCCCCCCTCCCTTCTCTCAAACACTAGCACAGGATTCATTATCAGTAGAAAAAAAAAAATGGCACCATCGCAGCTGCCGGAGCAGCAGGACCGCCACACCTTCTACGCGGGGAAGCCGCAGCCGGACTCGGAATCACCGGGCACCTTCCAGTCCGTCGATCCCGCCACGGCGCAGCCCATCTGTACCGTCCACACCTCGTCCCCGGCCTCCGTCGATGCCGCCGTCGCCGCCGCCAAGGCCGCCTTCCCGTCGTGGTCCGCCACGCCGCCCGCCGAGCGCGCCCGCATCCTGCTGCGCGCCGTCGCCCTCCTCCGCGCCCGCAACGACGAGCTCGCCGCCGTCGAGACCCTCGACACAGGCAAGGCCTTCTCCGAGACCCGCTACGTCGACGTCGTCACCGGCGCCGACGTCCTCGAGTACTACGCCAGCCTCGTCGCCTCGGGCGGCCTCAACGGCGAGTCCCTCCGCCTGCGCACCTCCGCCTGGGCCTACACCACCAAGGAGCCCCTCGGCGTCTGCGCCGGCATCGGCGCCTGGAACTACCCCATCCAGATCGCCCTGTGGAAGTCGGGCCCCTGCCTGGCCGCCGGCAACTGCATGGTCTACAAGCCCAGCGAGTTCACCCCGCTGCACGCCGAGCTCCTCGCCGCCGTCTACAAGGAGGCCGGCGTGCCCGACGGCGTCTTCAACGTCGTCTACGGCGCCGGAGACGTCGGCGCCCGGCTGACCGCCCACCCGGACATCGCCAAGGTGAGCTTCACCGGCCAGGTGAGCACCGGCAAGAAGGTCGCCGGCGCCGCCGCCGGCGGTATGAAGTACGTCACCATGGAGCTCGGCGGAAAGAGCCCCCTCATCGTCCTGCCCGACTGCGACGTCGGCCAGGCCGTCGACGGCGCCATGCTTGCCAACTTTTACAGCTCCGGCCAGGTCTGCACCAACGGCACCCGCGTCTTCGTGCCCCGCGCCCTCAAGAAGCGCTTCGAGGAGCTCGTCCTCGAGCGCGTGCGTCACGTCCGCGCCGGCGACCTCTTCGACCCGGCCACCAACTTCGGCCCGCTCAACAGCCGCACCCACCTCGAGAAAGTGCAGGCCTACGTCCGCCGCGGCGTCATGGAGGACAAGGCGACGCTGCTCGTCGGCGGCGCCACCCCGCCCAAGGGCCTGCCCGCCGCCTACCAGGCCGGCTTCTGGATCCAGCCGACCGTCTTCACCGACTGCACCGACGACATGTCCATCGTCCGCGACGAGATCTTCGGCCCCGTCATGAGCATCCTCACCTACGACACCCTCGACGAGGCCGTGCGCCGCGCCAACGCCACCGACCTCGGCCTAGCCGCCGGCGTCTTCGGCCGCGACGTCGACCAGTGCCACAGCGTCGTCGCCCGCCTCGAGGCCGGCATCACCTGGATCAACACCTGGGGCGAGTCGCCCGCCGAGATGGCCGTCGGCGGCTGGAAGTCGAGCGGTGTCGGCGTCGAGAACGGCCGCAAGGGTCTCGAGGCCTGGGTGCGGAACAAGAGCACCCTCGTCGAAATGGGCGGAAGCGTGCCCACCGTCTTCTCCAAGCTGTAAAATAGAAAGAAGAGAACAAAAAAGAACAATTAAATGTGCGGAAAGGGGGGCAGGGGGATGGAGTGTATTACTTGTATGTATCTAAGAAAAAAGGGGGGGAAAAGACTTGCTCTCGGTTGTTGATTGAAGGAGGGGCGGCTCGGAAGTTGGAATTCGTAGCGTTTTCTATGATATCTCGGTTATTGTTGCCTCCACTGCCAACATCGTTGACAGCAGCAATGCCTCTCTGCCACTTGGGGCCCGCCATGCCCGCATCCGTGACGATGTCGGGACTCTCCAGTTATGAACAGTAGGTATCTAGATGACTCCCGTCTCCAGCCAATCACGGGGACCGGCGCTGCCGTACCAAGTAGTCACGTAGGTACAAACGGGGCAAGGCTTTTAGTTTTTTTTTCTAAAAGGAGTTTTACCTTACGTACCGTCTGCCATTTCAGGGCTAGGCCGACCTGATCGGAAACATAAATACTGTGTGGGAGCTGTAGATAGAGACAGGATAGAAAAAAAAGACAACTTCAAGTTGCCCCTTACCTTTGAGCATAACCTTTATGATTATAGTAACCGCAACTATCTTGAGTATAGCCTTAACTCCTTAGCCCTCATCAGACCTCAATAGTCTGATTAAGGTGTACCTCCTCTATAATAGACATCCGTATAATCTTAACCTTAGCACATATACCCCTAATACCACTTATCAACAACAGTATTACTAACTAAGCTTAGCTGTTAATTGGTGAGACCCTCCCCTTAGATGCTCTTAGCCCTGGTTAGACCAGGAAGCATCTATAGGACGTAGGATCACTGCTTAAACTAGAGCTAGTGAGTCACCTTTAGGTTTACAGGCGCTTGGGGTGTACCGGCGACGAGGTTCTTGGGTATTATAGTGTGGCTTAGTTGTGTGTGCGCGAGCTAACCTACTACCTTGCTCACTGACTTCCACCTCAGTTTCAGCACTTACCAAGAAGCTGAGCCCGTAGTTTTTTCAGGAGGCATCCACCCCCCTTCCCCTCGCTCACTGTTTGGGCACACATTGCCTGGGCTCAACCCCAGCAGCCACAGATTTTCAGGACCCGTGATGTGCGATAAAGAATGCGAACGCCCACGCGGCCCTCTAACCAGGTGTGAGGGGGACCGGGAGCTTGTCTCAAGACTTTGATGGATGGACCAGGCTCGGGCATATTTCCACGGGAGACGACGCGCGATCTGTGGAATATTTATCGGGACTGGTTTCCCGCAAAGAGTCTCGGACGGTCAGATGGTGAATAGTTGTTGCCCTTGTGGAGTATGAGCCTGGGATTGTGCGATCAAGGCAGCAGAAAAATTACTCTCAAGATATTCCTCGCAAAAGGAGCACACGATTAATGAATGAGCAAATAGATTTGTTACCAAGGAAAGTCTGCTACTACTAAGTAATTCTAAGTTAAAGGAGACGACGGACTACAGGAAGAAATCAAAGATGATATGAAAACTCCCAAATGCAATATCCCCCAATGAAGTTTCCAGTTCTCAGCCTCTCCTTCCAGCTGTGCCTTCCAGTTCATATCTAACCATTACAGTCTTCGTATTCCCTAAGTCTCCATAGCGTCTTACACGTTGACTAAACACAAGACTGTTATAACTCACTCATAACAACAAGTAAAAGGAAATCGCAGAGCTGTGGTTCTGGTCGCCCTTGTGTCCCGTGCGACTTCCATATTCTGTGGGTGCCCCTCCTCTTGATTGTTTCCGTATCCTCATGTCTTCGTCATCCTCCGTCTCCGTTGCAATAAAAGTACATCGCTCTCCCATGAGCGCCTCCCGATTATATCGTCCCCCAGGCGTTGAATAGGCCAAAACAGTCTAATAATAAACACTACTCGTCATCATGTCTTCGTTGTCTGATGCACGTTTCTCTCGCGTATCCTTTGCCCACACCTCTCTCAACTTCTACTTGCTCCAGTCAAAGCCAACGCAAAGCTTACTCTTCTTGCAAACGGCCTTGGTCAGGGTCTGGATGCTACCACTGCTCAACAACTCGAGGACCTGCATGTTGGACTCAAACTCGCGTGTGATGAAATTACGGATCTCGATCGCGACAAGCGAGTCGAGAGGGTAGTGCGACAAGCTGCGGGTGACATCAAGGTCTTCCTGCTCCATCATGAGAACAGCAGCAATCTTCTCGACTAGGCCGCGGCAAACGACCTCCATAGCCTCGGTCTCGCTGCGCGACGCCTTAAGGGCCGCGTTGAGTGACACGGCGCCATTGGCACCAGCCTCGGCGGCGGCAAGCTCCTCGGCCGCCAGACGAAGGGCCTTGAACTTAGCGTCGGGCGTCCAGAAGGGCTGGATGGTAGGCGTGATGCGCATACCCGTGATGACGTGGTGGTTGCAGACAGACGTCTTGCCAGAGATAGAAGCGCCGATAAGGGCAAGCACCTCGGCCTCGCAAATGCTGTCGGAGCCCAGGTTCTTCGCGACCTCGGCAGCACGCTCGGCACTGCCATCAGCCAGGTAACCGGCGTCAGAAACAGCGGTAAGATCAAGGGAGGTGGCGGGGAGTCCCAAGGCGAGGCGGTGCTGGACGAAGGCGTTGAGGAAGCAGTTGGCTGCGGCGTAGGCGGCTTGCCCACGGTTACCAACCGCCCCGGCAGCGGAGGAGATGGCAATGAAGAAGTCAAGCTCGGTCTGACGTTCCTGGAGGGCGTGGTGGAAGTTCCAGGCACCCTGGACCTTCGACTCAATGACCGAGGTGTAATCATTGAACTTCATCTGCTCGAAGAGAACGTCCTGCACGATTGTTAGATGCGGCACAAGTATGGATAGAGTATTGGGGGGGGGGGACTTACACGAAGGACCATAGCACCGTGAATGACACCACGAACAGGTGGCAGACCTCTGAGACCGCTGTTGAACAGCTGCTCAACACTGGCCTTGTCGGCGACGTTGCAGGAGCGGACGGTGACGTGGGCTCCCTCCTCGGCGGCCTCATCAATGAGAACCTTGACCTTACCAGTAGCGGAACCGCTGCGGGAGAGGAGAACCAAGTTCCTGGCGCCGTGCTCGATCATCCATCTGGCCATGCTGCGACCGAGACCACCAGTACCGCCGATGAGGAGGTAGGTGGCGTCGGGCTTAAGCAGAGCCTTAGCAGCCTTGGAGGGAGTGGCCATTACGACATCCTCGGCATGGGGAACAACGACAAGCTTGCCAGGGCCCTGCGTGGTCTGAAGCGTCTTGAAGGCCGTCTCCATACAGGACACGGGGAAGACAGTGGCGGGGTCAATAGGGCGGAGCTGGTCGTCAGCCAACAGTTTGGAGACATCGGCGACTAATCTCTCCATGAGCTTGGGCCTCTCGGCGGCGAGACCAAAGATGTCAACGCTCAAGAACGAAGCGTTGTTGTCCGACTGACCCATGTCGAGGCGGGTGGAGCGAGATCCATCCTTCCTGCGAACATCGACGAGGCAGCCAAAGCGGCTGAGACATGCCCAACTCTCTCTTAGAGCATCGGCACCCGGCAGGGTATTGAGGACAACGTCAACACCCTCATCGTTGGTGGCACGCCTCACAGCAGCTCTCCAAGTGGTGTTGCGGCTGTAGAAGATGTGGTCCTCCGGGACATTGTAGTGCTGCATCAGGAGCTTCTTCTTGGCTGCCGTGCTGACGGTGACGAAGATCTCGGCACCGATCATTTTGGCGAGGCACACGGAGGCCTGGCCAATGCCACCGCCGGCAGAGTGGACCAGGATACGCTGGCCTTCACGTAGGCGTGCCTGCTCGACCAGGGCGTAGTAGGCAGTGCAGTAGGCCAAGGGAAGGGTAGAAGCGTCCTCGAAAGACATCTTGGAGGGCATAGGCATGACGTTAGCGGCAGTGGTGCGAGTGCGCGTCGCATAGGCACCGTGCTTGATGGTGAGGGCAGCGATGCGGTCGCCGGCTTTGTGGGCCTTGACAGCAGAGCCAACTCTGGTTACAATACCAGAGGCCTCAACACCAAGGGCGTGCTTGCTGGCCTCGGGGATCTGACCCTTGGCAAGCATGACATCGCGAAGGTTCATGCCAACGGCCTTAACCTCGAACTCAATCTCGTCATCACTGAGGGGCTGAGTGGCAGCGACATCGTCAACAAAGTGCACCGTCTCGATGGCACCTGGAGTGGAGAACTCCATCTTGAGGTATCTGTCGTCCTTGCCGAAAGGCTGGAGCTCGACGACGCTGGGGTTGGTCTCACGGTGAACAATCTCGTTCATCTTCTCATCGTGGACGATGCGGGGAGTGAAGAAGCGGCCGGAACGCTCCATGAACTCAAGCTCGCTTGTGGAGGACGCGTTGGCTCCGAACGCGAGCTTGAAGATCTCGAAGATAACTGCGGAGGAGTCATCCTCGTCGAGCTGGTTGTTGTCGTCAAGGTCTAGCGTTGCGAAGGGCAGAACAGTCTCCGAGCGGACGGTTCTGCTGAGACCGACTATCATGTTGGACTCTGGCGAGGTGGCTTTATCGTAAGCACCACGGACAACCCACAGGCAGCCCTGAACACCGGCAAGCATGTTACGGACCTCAGCGAACTGCTCCTTAGTGGGGTTGGAGAGGAAGGGCTGCTCGATCTCAGTGAGAACGATGGTCAACTTGCCCTCGGTGTTAACCTCATGCATGCCGCCCATCTCGGGGAGTCTAGAGGTGGCGCTGGCGAGGGCGATAGCGAGACCGTTTGCCAACGTCTGCTGGGCGTTGGAGTCGCCGTGGATGATTGCGACATCAACGTCGGGCAGGGGAGCATCAACCTTGACTCCAGAGGCGCCGTTGACTTTTGTCTTGGCCTTGCCAGAGAGCGACTTCAGATTGCCAATGTCCTCCCACTCAAGCTTGTAGCAGAGCTCACGAGCTGGGTTGCTGGCCAGCTCGGTCTCGCCATCAATAATGGGAGAGATGGTGAGCTCATCGATCTCGATGACCAGGTCGTTGTTCTCAGCAGTGGCGAACACAGAGACCTTGGTGGAACGGGGCTCAGCAGGGAAGTCGGCCTTGCAGTAAGCCTTCAGGGTGCTGCCCGGTGTGTGGGTGAGGGGTGGTGATATTACGAGCGATGGACATTCTGCCGATGGAAGAGGGCAAGTAGACGGTGTTGACGTCGACGCGGCCGACGCCAAGGATAGGCCAGTACATCTGAATGACCGACTCCAAGAAAGTAGGGTGCAGGACAGTGCTGGTCTGGTGGTGGTTGGGCATGTCTCCAGCAATGTCGAAGGAGGAAATATTACCCATAGCGTACTTGTTGGACGCCTTGCAATCCTTGATGCCCTGGAAAGAGGGCCCATACCCAACACCGAGCTCATTGAGACGCTCGTAAATGTCCGTCTCTGCAACGGCAACAGCCTCGGGGCCCTCACTAGCCTTCATGGTGGCCTCAGCACCACGAAGAGCGGCCAACTTCTGCTCCTTGCCATCGACCTCGTTGGTCTCGATGGTATGGAGGGCAATGAGACCAACGCAATGCTCGGTCCAGCCGCTTCCGTGAGTCCAAGAGCAGATGCGGAACTCCTTCCAGGTCTCAGATGCGGTCAGGTTAGTTTCCTGGTGAGGGCGCAGGTTGATGGTCAACTCAACATCGGCGTCCTGGAGTGCCAAAGGCTTGATAACAGAGACGTCTCGGAGCTCGAACTTCTCAAACGCCATCTCCTTGCGCTGCGCCCACTGAGCGGAGGCCTCCAGAGCCATACCAATGAAAGCAGAGATGGGGAATATAGTGACGGACTGGACGGCATGGTGACGCAGCCAGGGAAGGTCGTCCAAGTGAATGATGTTTCTCCACGTGGGCTCAAGATCACTGGAGTAGATGGCCTCAAGACCGATCAAGTCGTTCCTGGGGGACTTGCGGTACTTGTGCATCTGTGTCATACGAGACTCTTGCCAGTACTTGTTTTGATAGTTCCAGGTGTAGCGGGGAAGGTCAGTCAACAGGGACGGCTTCTTTTTCAGGTTGGGAAAATTGACATTATCCATATTGAGAATGGCACCCTTGGTGATGAGGCTGCAGGCCATATCCATAGCGGACTCAACGGCATCCTTCTTGCGGACGAGAGGAGAGACGTATGGGATCTTGGTCGCATGCTCTCCGACATGCTTCAAGATCTGCTTGATGGGGCCCTGGAGAGCAGAGTGGGGGCCCAGCTCGATGATCATATTGACACCAGTCTTGTGTTCGCCAACAGGCTCCAACATGGTCTCAAGGGCCTCGGAGAAGCGGACGGGGCAGGTCAGGTTATTGACCCAGTAGTGAGCCTGGCACTCGAAGCCATCGATCTGATGGCCGTAGAGAGAAGAGTGGAAGCGGACGTCCGTAGTCTGGGGATGCGGGAGATCAGAGATAGATTCGCGATATTCCTTGGCGACCAGGTTCATGTGGTGCGAGTGATAGGCAGTCTCGATCTGGAGGCGTCTGTTGAACATCTGCTTCTCCTCAAGGTTCTTCTCAAGCTCAACAAGAGCATCGGTATCACCGGAGATTGTCAAGCTGGAAGGACTGTTGTAGCAGGCAATTCTGACTTGCTGCTGCTTCAACGCATCGATCATGGGCTGGACTTCCTCCTTTGTGCCGCCAACAGCCATCATGGACCCGCGAAGATCGGGGTTCCTCTTCTTCAAGATGGGGACAAGACGACCACGGTGGTATGCAATGGCCATGGCAGCCTCGAACCCGATGATGCCAGCAGCATACGCAGCACCAATCTCACCACTGGAGTGGCCGGCAACAGCAACAGGGCGAATACCCCAAGTACGAAGGAGATCAGTCAATCCAAGCTGGACGGCACTGCAGGCCGGCTGACTGATGTGGGCATCTCCAACTCTGGAGGATTCTTGGTCCCTGCTGAGCTCCTCGACGAGAGACCATTCAGCGCCCAGCTTCTTCAGGCACTCATCGGCTCTGTCGATAGCGGCGGTGTAGATGGGGTATGTGCCGTAAAGCTGACGACCCATGCCCCACCATTGAGCACCCTGGCCGGTGAAGACGAAGCCAATTCTCAGCGGCTCGGTCTCTTTGCCAGGAATGACCTTCCCGCTGTTAAGAGTCTCAATGAGCTCGAAAGAGTCCTGGGCAGGAATGGCAACTCTCCAGGGAAGCATGGAGCGACGCGTACCCAGGGTATATGCGATGTTGTCCATCAGGTCGTTCTGGAAGATCTCAGGCCTCTGCTCAAGGTAGACAACGAGGCTCTTCATGACGGAGCTGACAGAGTTCTTGTCGTTGGCGGACAAGACATAAATCTTCTTGGAACCCTTGACCTTCTTGATTTCAGGGGCAGGAAGAGTCCTGTCCTTCTTGGGCCCAGGGAAGAATGGCGCCTTCTCCAGGACCACGTGGGCGTTGGTGCCGCCGAAACCAAAATTGTTGACGCTGATGTACTTCTTGTTCTTGGGCCATGGTCTCTGGGTGGCAGGAATCTTCATGTTCCACTCTTTCCACGGGATCTTCTCATTCGGCTTCTTGAAGTCGTGGTTGGGGAGAAGGAAGCCTCTCTCCAGCATCATGGCGGCCTTGATGACACCGGCAATACCGGAGGCCGCTTCAAGATGGCCAATGTTGGACTTGACGGAGCCGATGAAGAGGGGGTCCTTGGTCGACCTGTTCTGACCGATAACATTGTGGATGGCGGTGGCCTCAATCGGGTCACCAACCTTTGTGCCGGTGCCGTGTGCCTCGACATATCCGCAGTCGTTGGGGTCAAGTCCCGCGTTTCTGTAGACCTGCCTCATGAGCTTCTCTGTACGGGTTTGTTAGCATGGAAATTATCATTGCCCAGGACGGTATTTTGATAACACATACCCTGTGCTGCGCCACTCGGCATCGTAATTCCGGGTGTCTTGCCATCCTGGTTGATACCAGTGCCTCGGATGACGGCGCGAATGGAGTCGTTGTCCCTGATGGCCTGGTCGAGCGGCTTGAGGATGACCATACCGCAGCCTTCGCCACGGCCGAAACCGGTACCGCGTTGGTCAAACGCGATGGAGCGTCCGGAGTCGGCAAGCAATCTGAAGTTAACTGTATCAGCATTGGTCGGTGGCGACGGAAAGAAGCACCCGAGGGAACAACATGTACTTACCTGCAAGACGAGAAAGAGATCCAAAACTCGGGGAGCATGTTCAGATGGCAACCACCAACGATGGCGGTGGTGGACTCGCCAGCACGCAAACTCTGGCACGCCAAGTGCAAGGCGACCAAACTGGCAGAGCAGGCAGTATCTGCTGTGAAACTCGGTCCCCTGAGGTCGAAGAAGTGTGAAAGTCTGTTGGACTGCATCGCATGGGCACATCCTGATGGGCCATATTAGCGGGAGGAAGCATGCGGGGTACAGGGATGATGCTTCTTACCTGTGGCCTGGTGCATGGGTATCGTATCGCTGTCCCTGAACAGATGGCTCTCATACTCGGCGAAACTGCCACCGACAAAGACACCGACGTCTTTTCCAACAATCGTGTGCTTGGGGATACCAGCGTTCTCGAGGGCCTCAAACGTACACTCGAGCAGCAGGCGCTGCTGGGGGTCCATGGAAATGGCCTCCTTCTCGGTCAGGCCGAAGAAGGGGGCGTCAAAGGAAGCCAGGTCGACGTCGAGGAAGTTGCCGCCCTGGGCGTGGTAAGCTCCAGTCTTGCCAGGGTTGGGGTGGTAGAAGGCCTCGTGGTTGAAGCGCTCCTTGGGCACGGGAGTGAAGCCGGTTCTGGCGCGGGAGCACAGCTCCCAGAATTCGGCAGGGCTGGAGACGCTGCCCGGCAGACGACAAGCCATTCCGACAATGGCGATGGGCATCTGTTTCAAGCCAGCATCGCTGCCACCGACGGGGTTCGTGTAGGCCGTGTTCGAGCTGCTGCCGGCGCCGCCACTGGTGTGGCCGTTGGAGTGACCACTACCGTTGGCGGGTTGTCCGTGGATGTTGAGACCTACGCCATCTAGGGGCCCCACGGACAAGCTGGTGAAGCCATCGGAAGTGGTATCGGAGTGATCGATCGGGGTCATCATTACGGGACTCGCAGAAGGCGACGTGCCTGAGGAAGAGTAGGAAAGAACACCAGGCGCCATGACGAGGGCGGAAGAGGAGGGTTGCGGAGGCCGCTGTTGTCTGACGATTTTATTCTACAAGCATTCGCCGAATCAACGAGAAGAAAAAAGAAGAAAAAACTGGTAGCGAAGGTTCCGGCGCTCTGGGCGTTCCTTGCAATGATGAAAAAGATAGAACGTAGAGAAGAATAGGAACAAGAGAGGAAGATAGGTGATGAGAAAGCGAAACGAAAGGCGGACTGCGAGTGCTCTAGATATGATGTCGTTTGGGGCTTGGAAGAGGGCAGGCCGGGTTGATATGATGTACGTACCAAGCCTCGTTGAGATGAGTGAGTGTGAAGAATCTTTCTTTTCTTGGTTGTCAAGGGAATCTCTGCAGGGTTTTTAGCTGAAGACGGGCCATGAGCAAATGTCGTCCATGTTGGTGCTCGCTCCGTTACGGAGTGGTTAACATGGAAGGGACAGGTTGGTGATCAGATCGCCAAGTCGGCCGGAGTCCTTCGCACAGACTAGCCTGTGTGATGAAATTTGCCTGACGATTGGGTAGATGATAGGTAAATCCCGAACGTGCATGCCAGGTTCATGCCAGGGAGGAGATGGGACCTCTCCGGAGAGAGTGAGCCAGGGCACATCCGATGCCGGGCTGCCCATGGTCGACACGGAGCAGCGTTGCAGCGGCAGTCCCTGGCAGTAGCGAATTCCGAATGGCTTCCCCAGACCAAAGGGGGGGCACCGGATAACGGCAGAACAAGGGTGTACTGTAGGGCTGGTGGCGCCGAGGAAAGAGGCTTGTTCCCTGGAATGGGTGTGGCTACTGCCATTCTTGCCAAAAGCAAGTCTCATTGAGTTATGCATAACTGGCGAGTTAATTGGTAAATCCGATGAGGACGAGAATGGAAAGTATGACTAATGCCCGACCAGGGATATGCAGTAAACGCGGCGGCGAGATCCAGGTCCGGTGGTTCCCCCAAACTCAAAGACCAGATTCAATCGGTCGCCGTGGATTCGGAGACACTGCCTCGCTCCTTTGCAAGGCAGCGGCATTGTCTTTGACTACGCAGAGTGTGCCTTAGTCTGTTTGTGATTCAGCAGCACAGCCAGGCCGGCCTGCAGCCTCAATGCAGATTGCAGAAGCCGGGCGTTTGAGTCGGACTAATATATGGCAGCGCAATGAACACTCGAACTCCGGTACGGGGGCCCGATAGCGTGGTTCGGAGTGGAGAAGGTGGTGGTGGAGGTGCTGTGGTTCTTTGTGTGCACCGCACTGCGCTGCAAAGCCGGGGGGCCTTGGACTGAGGCACAGGGCCGTGAAGCGGAGCATGGCAACCAAGGAGGTGGGGCAGCAGCAACGCCCATAGCAGCGCGTGGCGACGGAGGCGGTAGCGGCATGGCAACGCAGTGTGCAGCGTGCACAGTGAGCCTAGGCAAGATGAGTATCGGTGGGAGTATGAGGAGGAAGAGGTCATTGCGGCCAATCCCGACTCGACTTGACTCGACTATCAAATCTACAGGTACGGAGCTGTGACTACCTAGTGGTGATGCTTATGTAAGAGCACTCTTTTCACAGCATTTGCGACAACCCCCACCTAGATAGGTTGTATCTCGTGCCAAGGAAGCTGCCGACTGCTGGAAGCCGCTACTGCTGCAAGCAGTGGCGATCCAATGATCCAGCCATCCAATGATCAAGACGCAAGTCCCGAAAAAGGGAAGGAAAGACCGGCAGGAGCACCTGCTGCAAGATGCCGGCAGAAAAAAAGGGAGCCCACTGCCCTTCCCCGCCATTTACGGACCAGACTCATCCCCTTCTCACGAGCCCGTATAAACAGTGGCAGGGCATCTCCATTGCTGCCCGTAGACGAGATGATGCGGCGTAGTGCGGATTTCCTCTTCATCTCCAGGCATCCATCCATACGTCCCGTCCTATTTGCTGGGGATTATGCGGCTGCTGCGAAAACTCAACCAGCGTGGCGGTGCCTGCTTACTTCATCCGCTCTCGTCTCGTTTTCCCTCTCCGTCTGGTGTTCGGCGCTCGTGTGTTGTTCGGTTTGCAAGTAGGAGGCGCGTCCTGTGTCAAAACCACCGACATCCATGGTGACGACGGCGGGTGGAAGTGTCAGGGCGTGCGTTTGTTCCCTTATCCACTTTCGTCCCTATGACGACCGAACAAACAGACCAAGGCTAATTGAGCAGAGGCTCCCTCAACACCAAGAACGGTCGGCAACCTGGGCAAGCTGTGCTCCAACGTTGTCAATGTATGTACAGCTGAGTAAGAACCATGGGCACCATTTAGCGTTGTCTGACTCCCAAGACGACCAAGCAAATGGGATCGAGTGGGCGGCAGGACGGCAGAGCAACCAGGGGCCTGCAAGAAGACAAGAAAGCAGGGGTTGAAGGTACAGACCCCAAACATGCAGCCACAATCGCCAGACGCAGGCGTGCTCGAGCTTCTGGATATGGTTATCGACCTATTGATAGACTGGTGGCTGACTCCAGACGCAGTTGCGGACGCAGCGGACGCGAATGCACACCTTCGAACGGCACCACATGCAGGTGCTGGTGCAGCAGACCTAAAGAGGACTAGTCGGATCTATCGCCCGAAATGTCTTCACCGGGAGGTTAAGACAAGGTGATGATTGCCGGGTCGTCGCACCTCTCACATATGGAGTTACCCGCATTACCGACCCCCGTTCTTGTACTATACTGTTCCAGACACTTGCGAGGGGGAACCGGCATGCACGGTATTGACATACGTACGCACCACATCCTTCCATCAAGCCTTCTCTCTCTCTGTACCTTTTTACTTCCTCCAATGTATCTGAGGCATCCTGAGTACCGTAATTTCACATCGCCAAAAGCGACCATCAAACCATCCATCTTACATCGGAACCGAGCTGAGTCGGTTTCGGATACTTTCCCCCATCGTCCGCAGCCTATCCCAGCCGGCGATCGTTGCTGAAAGAGGTCTAACTCCCTAGGTGTTGGGGATGCTTCTAAAACTGCTTCTGTCAGAAAGCTTTGGCAGCTTCCAAATCGCAAGCGCGCGCGCGCGCGCGCGGGAGATCCGCACTACCTCTCGAGCCGTTGACCACACCATCAAAGCTGACGGGGTTGACACGCGCCAGCCTCTCTCACATACACTCACACATTGAGGAAGGACGGGGGGAGATCTTGTCCCTGTACGCATTCGATTTGCGTTGTCCTTCTTCTGCTGTACTATGCGCACCGCTAAACATCTCACGTACTTCGTACATCTCTCTGTGTCTCCCTGTCTCCCTCTTGGCAACTTTCCTTGACCTTGGTCTCCCGTGTGATTGCCCCCAGGAACCTAATCCACTGTAGTGTGTACGCACGCTTCATACAGCAAAACTCCGCCAAGAAGTTTCCCATCATCCTAGCCCATCCTACCACCCATTTCATCAGGTCAGCAACTAAGTTGTAGGATGACCGTGTTCCATTGAAACACAATGTTTGCAAAACGTTGTTTCCTTCTCTCTGCAGACACACGCGCCCACAGGACGTCGCTCGCTCGCCGGCCACCCCGCATCGTTCAATCTCTTTCACTCTCTCTCTGCTCCTCCCTCCCTCTTGTCCATCATGTCGTCCACGCTCTCGAATATGTACGCACAAACGCACATCTACAACTCTGCCACTCAAGCATTCCAGTTCAGCACACTTCCTTCCCACTTATTACCCCTTCTGCAAGTCTGATGGACGAAACCGGCATACCCACACTTCGCCCCCGCGCGGACGTTTTCCCATCCAGTTTCAAGCCTACAAGGTGACAGATCCGGACCGAAGTCCTAGTTTGAAGACCAATCATCGTCAGCATGTTGTTAGTGACGCCAGTGCAGCGCCAACGCGTCAACCGAGGATCCGAATCTCGGGATGCCCAGAAAGGAACTCGGCTGCCTGGCACACCTTTCAGACCGGCTGCTGCCTGCCAAATTTCTAGACTTGTCTGCAGAGAAGCTCCATGGCGGTCATTGCTCTTCGGTTATCCTTCCATGTGGCGTGGCGGCGTCTCGCCGCGCTTGTCTCGCGTTTCCCTCTACTCTACTCCTCGTCCCCTTGCCTCGCCCAAGGGCCGGGACACCCAGCCAAGCCCGACCCAAGGACCAATGCTCATCATCAACTCACTCATTCGGACCCCCTTCAGCCCACCATTGTGCAGCATCTGCGCCAATTCTAGTGAAAACAGCTCAAACTGATCCATTGTTCGAGTTGGTCTCATCACTGCAGTACATTGCCTCAGTCATGATGAAGTGCATAGTTTCAAGACTTGCTGAGTTGCTTTCGGCTCACGGTCGACTTGATGTGCAGTTCCAGCTTCTGGGGCTTGACTAACTCAGCCTCCTGTCTTGACGTCGTCCGGCCTCAACTGCTGCGCCATCTCATGGGAAGTCAGAGCTGACGCTTGCGTTCGTGAACCGATTACCGTTCAACGGATCACAGGCATTTTGTTTCACGGGTTCGAATTCATTAAAATGCCCCCCCTTGGCCGGGCCAGTCTCATCAATACTTCCTTCTCCACACCGCGCTAAATCATCACAACCTTCACCATCACAGTCATCTAACAGACAACTCTACAAATACTCCCGCGCCCACTCTCCAGTATCTCCTTCTTGACACCCTGCCGTGTTATTGGACGCCGTATCTACCCTCTCCCGCAAATCACACACTAGATCCTTACCGATCATCACCATGCTGCGCTTCTTGTGCCTTCCCGGAGCCTACGGCAGCTCGGACGTGAGTAACCAGACGCGATGCCTTCTCCGACATCTTACTAACGCACACTAGAAATTACAAGTTCAACTTGGTTAGTTTTCTCATGCGAGCCACTCCGGTTCCTCGCGTGTGGCTTGAACCCTGACAGTCTCATACTTACTTTCTTCCAGCCCCCATTCTGAAGGAGCTCACCGAAGACGGCACCGCGCAATTCCACTTCATTCAGGGCCCCTGCAAGGCTGTGCCGCCTCCTGGCTTTGAGGACTACTTCGGCGCCCCTCCTTACTACCGCTTCATTGAGCCTGATAGGGATGTCGAGAAGTCTAACAGCGACGATGTCCTCGCCCGCATCCGTGACTTCCCTCAGTGCGAGACTCCAGAGGACACCATGAGGGATCTTATGAGGGAAGGTATCGCCACGACGCACCGCAGCACTGACAGAGCCATCAAGTACCTGGCCGATATCGCGGCCAAACGCGGCCCCTTTGACGGCATCATTGGCTACTCCGAGGGTGCCACCGTGGCCTCGACCTTTATGCTTTACGAGCAGCGTCGCTTCAAGCGCTCCGGCATCAAGCCGACTTTCAAGTACGGCATCTTCTTTGCCGGCTGGCCGCCCGTCGACCCCAAGACCCACGCTCTCGTCCTCTCCGACGAGACGGACGAGAGGATCGAGGCTCGGACCTTGCACATCAGTAAGTTGATCGCGTGTGACGTGTCGCCCTGCCTATCCGCGGGATGCTGACGACTCTTCCCAGTCGGATCCTTGGATCCTTATGTCGATGGCTCCACGGCCCTGTACAACATGTGCGACCCTGACACTGCCTATCTCTTCGACCACGCCAAGGGCCACACGCTTCCCCGTGACAAAGATACCATCAAGGAGCTTGGAGACATCGTCCGCCAGACAAAAGCCGAGATGCAAGAGGAGGGGATCCTGTCATCGTCGTAGAAGGGTTAGAGGGGCAGAGGTCCCGAGCAGGGATGGATCTCCGGATGGGCTAGCGTTGCATCGGTTGTCATTTTGGGATTTGTGCCATTTCAAGAACAAGGTGGGAGGTACAACAAGGAACTGGCTTCCTCCCGTGTTAGCATTAGAGAGATAGATGGGATCGGGTGTCGGGTGCGCCGCATATTTCGGGGCCTGCTGGAGTCGGGTAATATTATTTGGCATTTTCACACAAATTTGGTTCCATGGTTTTCTCGCCCCTTGCTGTTGAAGCTCGTCCCACCACCCTCTTCTTTGGGAATGGTCCCAAAACGTCAGGCGCACACCTCACCGAGCCACTTTGACAATAGTTCCATCAGGGCAAATCTGATTGACAGCAAGGTTTTCGCATAACTGCATGAAGCTGTGGAAATGTCTCTTTCATGTTGCATTTTCTTCTTTTTTTTTCTTCTTCTCCCCCTTCCCACCCTTTGGTTTTTGTCATGACGGGAGGTGATCGGTCATATACATCACCCTCCTAAGATGCCAAATACTTGTGGGACGATGGACTCATGAAAAACATCATGTTCGTGAATGCAGACCTGGGACATGTAAGAATAAAGGTTCTTTTCACCTGTGCCCTCGGGACTGTCCCTCCCCTGGTTCGTTCCCGTCCCAGGGCCGACCCTGACGGGTGATCTGGGAACCTTCTAGGTGCACAAACGACTACCGCCGCAGCCACCTCGCTTCCAAAACAAAAGATGAAATCTGCATAAGATTACCCTTCTAGGCATTGATCCTCGAGTCAGCGGTAGCTACCGAATGACGCTGAGAGGGTGGGAAGGGCGGGAAGGTTGGGAAGGGGAGGGATGCCAGACCTGTCTGTCCCATCCAACATGCGTGGCCTGGCTTTGCCACAGACAGATAGACAGACCAACAGCTCTGGGACGAGCCGGAATTACGTTCCATCCTCGTGCACGGGTTACCCCAGGTAGCCTCTTGACGTGCATATGTGGGTATTAGAAATGGGTGGTGCCGTATCTTTTCCTCTCAGCCTCTCTCTCAGCCTCTCTCACTGCCGAGCTGCCGCTGCTGCGCTTTGGTTTGAGCTTTGACACTCGAGGAAGGAAAGACCCGATTGTGGGAAGGAAGCGGCAAAACTGGAGCGGGCAAAAGACAAAGTAATAGACACTTGCACCTTGTTTCATCATGAGATCACACAGGTAAAGGAAGGAAACAACGTCCGTTCCCTTTGCTTGTTTCCACCTGCCCAAGACCGATCTGAGCTCACTTTCACACACACACACACACGCGCGCGCGCGCGCGCGCACACCAAACACTGCTCAACTTTTGCCCTAATGTTTTCATGAGTATTCCTCTGGTCTTTGAGCACATTCGAGTGTTTCCCGTTCCATTGAGTCGTCATTATACACATGGGGCTTCGCGCTGCCCAGCCAGCCAAGCCATCCACCCACCAACCCGAACTCGTCCACCTCAACTCGCCCACCTCCAAAGAGATGGATCCATCCCATCTCCCCCTTCCAAGGAGATATCACACTCAGCGCCCAAACCAACTCTCTCGGCGCTGGGTCGGTTTCGACGTTTCGGACAGCGAGACGGGAACGACACAGCCCTTGTATTGCCCGGGTGGCCCGTTGGCAACGTGCCTTTTCGTTACATCTGCCATCCTCCCCGACTTTCCCATTCCAAACCCTTGTCACGTTCTCCCCCCTTCCCCCTTCCTTTCTCGCTGATCGAGTTTTGTCGGATCCTTTCGAGTCGCTGAGTTTGCAAATCGCACTCTTTTCCCTCCGTCCACGTCGCCCCTGGTTCCCTGATTCCTAGGAGCCGTCCGTTGGTTCGCCTTTTCTGGAATTTGCGACAACAACCACCCGCGGGACGACAAAAAGAACGCTACTTTGCCTTTTCCTCCCCCCCCCCCCCCCCCCCCTCTCTTTCTTTGGGAATTTTGACAAATACTCTCTGACGAGCTCAGAGCTCGATCGCGCATCGCATCAAGGACACGAGCTTTTTGTCAAAAGTATAGTGTAGTATACCTACTCAAACAAGTCCCACCTATCCCCCGCAAACCGGTTCCTGACCAGAACCCCGCACATGGCCCGGGCATCCACTTAGTCTCCAACACCAAACAGATCTACCGTCACACCCGGTATCCGATCGCGACCCCGGTCTAGGAGCCACACTCTACCCCACCATCTATCCCTCCCCCCATCATGGCCACGCCGGCCGGCGCTGCTGGAGCCTCCGCTCCGGCCGATGCCGCAACCGGGACCGCCAACGCTCCCTCTGGGGCTGCTGCCGCTGCCGCTCCCTCCGACCCTACACAGGAGCCTAAGACGGGCTTCTTCAAGCTCAACCCAAAGACCGTCGCGACCTTTCGCAACTTTTTTGTAAGCCCCCCGTCGCGCGCTCGGCACTGTCATGAGCGTAAATCCGAATGCATTAGCCCTGCTGACTCTGCATCGCAGAAAATCTTCAGCTATGGTACCACACTTGACAAGCTCATCATCATAGGGTCATGTATTGGTGCCCTTGGTGCTGGTCTGACCATGCCGGTGATGAACATTGTCTTTGGTAAGTTCATCGTCGCCTGTCGATGATAGAGCGAGGAGTCTGACAGCTCGTAGGACAACTTGTCGGCACCTTCACAGGGTTCTTCATGCAAGGCACTTCCGAGACACAGGAGCAATTCAACCAAGCCGTCAACCAGGGCGTGTAAGTGCCTCATGTCATGTCTCGATATGAGGTTTCCCGACTAATCCGCATGCAGCTTGTACATAGTGTATCTGTTCATCGCCAGACTGATACTCACTTATCTCTCAAATGTGAGTGCTTGACCAAGCTGTGACCTCACTTGGGCTAACAAACCGTCCAGATGGGCTTTCGAATGACGAGTCTTCGCATCTCGGCAAAGATTCGCCTGATGTACCTGGACCGCCTGTTCGGCCTCCCCATCTCGACGCTCGACATGCTGCCGCCGGGCCAGACGGCTGCCATCATCACCATCACTGCCAGTATCCTACAGCTGGGAATCTCCGAGAAGATGGGCCAGTTCTTCTCCAGTCTTGCGGTCGTCATCGCCGGCTTCGCCATCGCTTTTGCTTACAACTGGCTCCTTACGCTGACGACGAGCTCCGGCCTTGTCTTCATCGCCATCGTCTATACCATCACCACACCGCCCATCATCAAGAAGCTCAAGGACGTCCAGGATATGGACATTGCCGCCGCTTCCGTCGCCACTGAGGCCTTTAGCGCTATCCGCATGCTGGCCGCGTGCGGCGCTGAGTTCAAGATGATTGCCAAGTATGGGCTCCTGGCCGATCAATCGAGGAAGAAGGGAGCCGGCATGGCCTGGCTGGTGGCGATCCAACAGGGCCTTAGTAAGTCCACAGCATGACTCGGTTGATAAAGTTGATCCTGGCTGACCCTCTGACAGTCTTCTTCGCCATATACGCGTAAGCATACGGTTCTTTGATGTAAGAGTCAATACGAGAGGGGTCTGAGCTGACAATTTTAGAACATTTGCCCTGTCGTTCTGGTATGCCTTCAAGATGTACAACATGATGGCGCTGACAACCCCGACATCCTTGATCGTGTAAGTGTCCTTCATCCTCGGGGATCCGTTGTGCGGTTACTGACCCGATGTCTAGCGTTCTCTTGTGCATCATGATGATGGCGTCTTCCCTGGGCCAGATCACTGCGCCCCTACAAGCCGCATCCCAGGCGGCCGACGCCAACGCCATCTTCCACACCATAATCGACGCCCCGCAGCAAGTATACGGAACACTCAAGGGACCTGAGGTCTCTGCAGCAGAGGACATCACCTTCCAGGCCGTCAACTTCGTATACCCCAAGCGCCCGGACGTCAAGATCCTTGACAACCTCTTCATCACCTTCCCCGCCGATAAGGTTACTGCTATCGTGGGTCCTTCGGGCTCCGGCAAGAGTACCATCGTCGGCATTCTGGAGAGGTGGTACGAGTTCAACGGCAACATGGAGACGAATCAGCTGGTGAGTCATCACACCTACGCCCTCCCGTCCACCATTGGTTTGGGAGCTAACGCGCACGGCCAAGGTCTTGTTCCTCAGAAATGGTATCATTAAAGTAGGCGATCGGCTCCTGAGCGATATTGATCCCAAGTGGTGGCGCAGTCAGATCGGCTTAGTCCAGCAGGACAACGCCCTCTTCAACACTACGATTTACCAGAATGTGGAATACGGCCTCATCGGTACCGAGTGGGAGTTCCAGTCCCAAGCGGTCAAGGCCCGGTTGATAGAAGCCGCGTGCAAGGATTCGTTTGCGGACGAGTTCATCTCCCGTCTGCCCGAGGTATTTCCTAAACGACAGTGCTTTATCGGTTGATTACTAACCTGCCGCAGGGCTATCAAACGGAAGTCGGCGACGCCGGTATCAAGCTCTCCGGAGGTCAACGCCAGCGCCTGGCCATCGCTCGCGCCATCGTCAAGCAGCCCAAGATCCTGATCTTGGACGAGGCAACCTCGGCCATCGATGTCCGCAGCGAGCAGATCGTTCAGGCTGCACTCGACAGGGCCTGCAAGGGCCGGACCACCATCATCATCGCCCACCGCCTCGGCACCATCCGCAAGGCCGACAACATCGTCCTCCTCCGCAAAGGCCAGGTCGTCCAGCAGGGCACGCACGATGACCTCATGGCTCAGGTTGACGGTCCTTACCACCTTCTGGCCACGGCACAGAAGCTTGACATGGGTGCCGACGACGAGGAGGACGTCCTCTTCGGCGACCTAAGCTGGCGGCGGCCCGAGCCCGAGGCGATGTACGGCAGAGGGTCGCTCCAGGGCGGCAGCAGCACCGGCGACCTCACCGAGAAGCGGGCCAGTAGCGATGGCACGTCCGCGGGCATGCTGCGGAACTTCCACGAGATTGATGCCTCCGACGATGAGTACGAGCGCGTCGAGGCCGGCACGCTGCGGGTCGTCAAGGAGCCTAGGGCCTGCCTCGGACGGTGGAAGGCCTTGCACTTTTTCGGTAGCTTCGGCCAGCTCCTTGGCGAGCAGAAGAAGCGGTGGAAGACATACATCGTCATTGCCCTCGCCGCACTCGGCGCTGGAGGTAAGTCCGGCACCAGGTCCGCCGTTATCACGGCCGTTCCCAGGTGGTCTAACGAGAATCACAGCGAGCACCCCCGTACAGGCCTATTTGTTTGCCGTCTTGGTCTCTCTCTTCTCCTATTGGGGAAGCTTCCTGCAAGTCATTGCCAACCATTGGTGCGAGATGTTCATGTATCTTGCCACGGGAGTTGGTGTGAGCCATTTCTTTCTTGGCTGGGCCACGACCACCATCGGCTTCGTGAGTCTCTTCTGTCTCTCATGTTTAACTCGTAAACCGGCTAAAACCATCTCAGGGCATTGTTCGCATATACCGAAAGGAGTGTTTCCGCAACATCGTGTACAAGCCCTCCGCCTTCTTCGACGGCGAGGGTAACTCGGCCGGATCCCTGACGGCCCGCCTGGCCACCGACCCCACGATGCTGCAGCAGCTCCTCGGCACCAACATGGCATTCGTACTTATCTCGCTCTTCAACGTCATAGGGTGCATCGCTGTCGGCCTCGTTTTTGGCTGGAAGCTGACGCTCGTGGCGCTCGGCACGTCGATGCCCATAATCGTGGCCGCCATGTTCTACCGCGTGAGGCACGAGACGAGCTTCGAGGAGGCCAACAACGCCGTCTTCGCCGAGAGCGCGAAGTTCGCCTCCGAGAGCATCAGCGCCATCCGCACCGTCTCCAGCCTGACAATGGAGGACGGCATCTGCCAGCGGTACGACGCCCTGCTCAATAATCACATCAAGGACGCCTTCCGCAAGTCGCGCTTCTCGGTCATGGTATTCTCGTTCAGCGACAGCATCTCCCTGCTTTGCATGGCTTTTGTCCTTTGGTAAGTTTAATCTCGAGGGGTGCGGCATGGCACGGCGCGGCTAATCAGTCAACAGGTATGGTGGCAAGCTACTCTCAAGCCATGAATACACGCCCTTCCAGTACAGTAAGTGAGATCAAGCTCGAAACGATGATGGAAAACTAACCCCAAATAGTGGTCGTCTACATAGCCGTTGTTCAGGGCGGTATGAGCGCTGGCCAGTGGCTCAGCTTCGGTCCTAGTAAGTCTAGCTGACCCCGACAGATTGCGAATTTTGCTAACGGCCTCTAGATATCGCCAAAGCGAAGACCGCCGCCGACCGTATCTTGGCTCTGAGAGAAAATGAAGACGAAGACCAATTCTCAAAGGGGGTCAGCGACATGATCCCCTACGAGGTCCACTACGAGAAGGGTGTCGAGATCGAGTTCAAGGATGTCTGGTTCAGTTACCCGACCAGGACGCTCCCCGTCCTCAAGGGCTTGGACATCAGGATCGAGCGTGGCCAGTTCGCCGCCATCGTCGGACCCTCAGGCTCAGGGAAGACGACCGTTATATCCCTCCTCGAGCGCTTCTATCACCTCCAGGCCGGCGGAGAGATCCTTTATAACGGCCATGACATCAAGACGCTCGATCTCGGCCACTACCGCAAGAACATCTCGCTCGTCTCCCAGGAGCCCAACCTGTTCACCGGCACGATCCGCGAGAACATCCTGCTGGGCATGGAAGACGAGGCCTCCGTCTCGGACGAGGCCGTCCACGCCGCTGCCCGTGACGCCGGCATTCACGATTTCATCGCCTCCCTACCCGAAGGCTACAACACCCAGGTCGGCAACGCTGGCGTCACACTTTCGGGCGGCCAGAAGCAGCGCGTGTCTATCGCGCGCGCCCTCATCCGCCGCCCCTCGCTACTCCTGCTCGACGAGGCCACGAGTGCTCTCGACAGTGAGACGGAGCGCGGCGTCCAGGCAGTCTTCGACGCTACCAAGGGCAGCCGGACGATGATCATGGTCGCCCACCGCTTGGCGACGGTGCAGAATGCCGACATCATCTTCGTTATGGCCGACGGCAAGGTCGTGGAGAGGGGCGACCACGCGACTCTGATTGCCGAGAGAGGAGTCTACTTCCAAATGGTAAGCTTTCCACAGTCCCACCCTTTCCCGAGTGCTATACCTCCGTTTATTCGATGCAGTAGCTAACCGCCTAATAGTGTCAATCGCAAGCGTTGGACAAGTAATAAAGTGGTTTCATTTTGTTGGTGCTAGACGATCGACGACGACGACAACGCATCGTAAAGGCGAGCTGAAAGATTGTGCAACAACTACATACCAAACGGTGCCTACGTTCTCACTGCATTCCTTTCCTTTTTCTTTCCCCTCTCTTTTTCCTTTTCTTTTATTTTCTCAATCCCCATCATCGCCAGCCACAGCTTGGCATGTTATCTCGACTCATTTAGAATAGCTGTTGATACTTGTCATGAAAAACAAACTGGATGACCTTGTTCAAACGAAGTCAACCTTGTGACACGAAGCTAAACATGCTGATGACGTGTGAAGATAATCGGACCACTGGCATCTCCTTGAAAATTTTGATGCTCAACAGGCGGGTAAATAATCTCGTTCTCCCGTTTCCTTTGCACTTTCCTTCGTTTTCTATCGACTGGATAACCCCCACTCCACGTCTGGGCTGCCGTCGCATCCGCCCTCGAAGAGGACGCAAGCACTGAGCGGCCCTCCTCCCCCGAGCTCGAAGACACTTCCCGATCCGACGAAGGTGATGGCTACCAATCCCGGTGAAGCCAAGCGTAGAGACGGCACGGCAAGAGTTGCTGGCGGGGACGTTAGCATTCACACGCTCCGCCAACGATTCCGCATCACGACAACCTTCCGAGCCGGTTTGTTCTGGGCTGCCCTGCCAGCGGCCAGCGGGAGTGCCCAGACCCGGGCGGACTAGACTGCCTTCGGCCAGGTCTTTTCCCGGCGAGGTGTCCAAAATGCGTAAGACCTCGCAACGATGTCGTGCCCCCCTCGCTCGTGGCCCGAGCGTCTGCGCCTTGAGCAGTTTCCTTGCGTTCATCCGAGGCGTGCGCGCGCGAAACCCCCGTGGGACTGGCCCGCCCCCTTTCGAACTGGGAGGGCACGGCGAAGAACTAGCATCTCCTCGACTAAGAGGCCCGAACACACGCCTCCTGCCCTGCTCTGGCGTTCTATCCGACGAAGGAAGTGGGGAGGGGGGACTGGCGCGGGGATGTAGATGTTGACGACGTCAGCGTCAGCGGGCCATGTCCATCACGTCCACGCCCACGCCTACGCCCACGCGGATGACGCGGGCCGAGTGTTCCCGCCGCTCAGAGCGACTTAGCTTTTTGGGGAGAGGTCAGTGCAATGATGGAACGATGTTTGTCTGTGTTAGTATCCAACCAGACAAGCGGGTGGAATTCTGTCATTCCCCAGCGACAACGGACTGAAAGATTGACGGTACATGGGGGTTGTCATGTGAACTTGGAAGGGATCCGTGATTTGGCATTCTTCTGATTCCGTACATGGGTGACTTGGAAGGGTACGTGGCTCAGAGTCATTGTGTTGGGGTAAGCTAGAGATCCAAAAAGCTGCTTTAATCTATGGAAATCGAACCACACGAGGGTCTCTCAACCTAGCAACTCCCTAGGACCTTTCAAGAAGCCATCACCGTCAGCCGGTGGCTGGCGGGTACAATCACATCTGGGTAGATTCGCTTCGCATCATGCAGGACTCGGTGGGAAGACTGGCGAACCGAACCACAGACAATGAAGTCTGTTTATTCGAACGCCAAAAAAGACGCAATTATACCTGCCATCGTTCCTTGCAATTAGGGCGGGGGGTCTTTTTTGTTTTTGGTTTGCGGCGTACTACCGCCTCACAAATATGAGACTCGGCAGGTCTGATGTGGACTTTTCTGACCTGGCCAAGTGTGCGTAGACGGTGCAAGAGAGGGCGTCATCACCGAGACAGTTGTCACTGAATCGTCGTGCTTCCGTTTTTAGTGTACCCGCACCGATGGAAGATTATGGGCTCTGCACAAACAAGGTGGTGGCTTACTGTTGCCCTCGGCTCAGCTTAATCCGCATCGCTTGAGAAAATGGTAAGCCAATGTTCATGGGACGAAGCCTGGTAGAATAGCGAAGTGGCTCTGGACCATCCCCACGGGAGTTGACAGGGGCGTCCGGTTTGCCTGTTTTTCCCACCCGAGCCGGTCCTTTCATCGTGACTTGACATCAGCCGGCCCTGGTTCCCGAAAGCTTTTACCACGGGTTCCCTTTGGCTTCTCGGGCTTCACGGGAGCGGAGATTGGCCCTGGGGCGGATGCCTTGGCCGGCCTTTGATTGCCTCGATTATCTCGTGTTTCTGTAGAGTTTACCGATGGATATTGGTCTGGTCCCCCTCGGCAGGCCAGAACAGCGGCGATAGTTGAGGAGCCCGGTCTCCTGTGCATGTTGATGTCTATGGACCGCGGTGGACGTCGAAGCACCGGTGTTCGTGGCATCACGGCCCATTCTCCTCCAGCCGATATCCCCCTCTTTGGTACGACATCCTGAGGACTGCGGATGAATATGCCAAGTCCCATAACTCCCTCCTGCCATTCGAGGGATGTGCTGGGTCGGCGGCAGTGAAGTTAGATGTTCCTTTTCAGCCGGGAAGACGTGGTGACGTCAGTGCTGGCCGTGGTCCTAAGAACAATCTCATATGTGTGAACATTAGACTGATGGGACTACGAGTAGCACGAGAGCAATTTAGGTTCAAAATGAACACCGAGTCATGGTTCTCGCAAGAAAGATGAGCAATCATTATTTCCGAATCTAGCCAAAGTTCCGATCAGTTGCACTCCCCTCGACAGCCTTTTGCCTCGGTGATACGAGTCGAGATAGCAACAATTATGTGTACAAAGCAATACATCAACAGTCAGAGAGAGCATGTATGAGACCGTCACGGGACCCGAACTCGGATGCCAAGTCGCCAAGAATCCTCACGCAGCCGGACACACTATTCGTCCCATCCTCGGTCGCCGACGAGATGGGATCGCGCCCGTCTTCTCACGACGCTGACAAAACCCCAAACATCCCCGTCAAAACGTGGGCGCGACCTTCTCTTCGCCCCTCTCCATCACGCTCATCAGCTTCGGAGCACGCAGCGAAGCCGCAGACGCCCGCGGCATGTGCCCTGGCCTGCAATCCCTTCCCCTCGGGGCTCCGGCGCTGCCCATGCTCATGGAGGTGCTTGTACGCACCAGCTCGCCCGCGGTCATGGGCGAGGAGCGCTCGTGGCTGGCGTACACTGCCGTGGAGATTCTGCGCGGTCTTGTGTTCAGACGGCTCATCATTGAGTTCAGGGCCGTTTGCCCATCAGCAGGGGCGTGGTTGAGCGGCGGAGGCTGAGAGCTGAAGACGGGGTCCGAATCGGGAGAGTTGCGACCCGACTGCGGCGCTGGGGAGAGCGATGAACCGCGGGGCCTGTTGAGTTTGGATAGTAACATCTCTGCAGTTGGTCTGCTGCGTTGCTGGGGTGTGTGGAATGAGTGGCCCAATCTGGTCGGCGAACGGCTTGAGCCGCGGCTCGACGGCGGCGTTGGAAGGACTCTATCGCCGTTGTAGGAGCTATGCTTGCCGGACCTCATAGAATACTCCAGGTTCAGGCCCATCATATTGCCCGCCATCTCTGGCGGCGACAGCGGGTCACTATGTTGTGACATCTTCATGGTGACGGCTTTTTGGATGTCCTCGAAGCTCATTGCCGGAGGCGGAATCTTGCTGAGCCTGCGGATCGCACGGTTGTTCCTCTCGACAAAATTGTTCATGGCCCTCAACGCCCCTGCGTTCTCGCGACTCGCGACCACGCTGACGTCGCCCGTGCTGCGGCCCCGGGCCTGGTGCACGGCGTTGAGGGTCAGCGGCTGCCGCGGATGCGCGAGATGGCTCGAGGGTGCGACGTCCTGGGTGCCGGCCCTCAGGCTCGCCTGCACCTGCGCCATCACGCGGTCAAAGTCAATGTTCTGGCTCGGGTTCGCGCGGGACATGTAATACGGCACCGGAGCCTGCTGCTCCGGCACACTCGGGTTGAGCTCCGCCTTGGCGGCCAGGACAAAGAGGCTTCCGTCCCTGATGCGGCGGCGCACGAATGCCCAGCGGCTCCGGGCCGGGTTCTTTTCCAGTTTGGGCTGGTGGACAGAGCAACGGGCCAGCTGGGTGTAGAAGACCTCCAGGTGCCGTGCCATACGTTCGAGGGCCTGGAGAAGGAAGGCGGATAGGGCAGTGAGCCGGGCGTTCTCAAAGTCAGGGTCGGAGGACTCTTGGATGGAGCGTGCGATGTCGTCGAAGGCGTCCATCCCGGTACAGGATTCTTGACGGAGATCCTCCAGAAGGGCAATGTCGAGCTCCACGCTGCGGGCGGCGTAGGCGAACACCCCACGCTCTTGGAATCGTAGCGACGCGTCGGCGTCGCACACGAGCTGTCCTATGAGGGCGATTTCTTTCGTACAAGCCACTGCATCTCCGCTCGTCTTCGCCCGGGCCACCGTTCCTAGCACGTCCGGCAGCTTGGTGTCCGCGGCCGGACCGTTGGCGCTGGCGAGGCCGAAGGACAACTTGAGAACTAGCTCCTGCAGCTTTGGACCGAACAGCGCGGCAAAGCCGCTCTGCAGAAGTCGGCTTTGGTATCCGTAGAAGGTGCGGACGGCGATGATGTTCGGCAGGCTTTCGCGTACCCAGATGTTGTTGCTGCCAGAGGGATCATGTGACGAAGGCGTCTCGAGGGATGCACCCATGATTTCGTACATCTCGAACTGATGTGCAACCAGCGTCTCGACCGTAGATCGGAGGTATGCTGACCAGAGGTCGTGCAGCGCTGAGATTTCAGCGTCGCCATAATCAGGCTTGGGAGTCAAGTGCCCGACAAAGTATTTCGTCAAGAGACTAGAAACCTCGGGGTTGTTCGTATGTGCGAGATTGTCGAAAGATTTGGAGCAGTCAACACCGGCATTGGACTTAATGATGAGCGTACCTCCGGGATGCATAGAACAGAAGTCGGTGACATCGTAGGCGCTGCCGTGAACCCCGATCCACATGCGGGAGCCTGGGCGGTGTCCGGTATGCAGCGCCAGCTCAGACATGGGTATCGTCGGCAAGTTGCATGGCAGTGGCTTTGGCGTCATGAAAACATCGAGCATGAATCGTCTTTCCGCAAAAGCCTTGTTGATGATGACATCAACGCCCGCCTCTGTGGCTGCTCTGTAGGTGTAGACTGCCTTCCGGATTCCATTCATGACGGAATCAAAGACCGAGACGGAACCGCAGACATACAGGTAGCCACCTAGCCCGCCCTGTTTCTTAGACATGACGAGATCGCAAATCGCCACACCCTGCTCAACTATCAAGGCGTCAATGTAGCGGGGTGGGATGTGCTTTTCGACGAGGTGACGACCAGCGTACGCGAGCCCGCGGGAGTCTCTGGAGAAAGCGACATGCACCTCCATGAAGTTGGCGTTGACGTACTGCCGCAGCTCTTCTTCGAAGCAGAACTTTTCGCGCGACTGGACGCCGAGATACAGCAAGTTTTTACCCCCAGACAGGCCGCTTTGCGCGAGGCGTGCTTGCCAGAAACTTCGAAACGGCGCGATGCCACTCCCACCGGCGAAGAATGCGCAGGGCGCCATCGGGTCGAGGGGGAGTTGAAAAGCCGCCGGCCTCGAAACACCGATGAGGAACTCGTCATCTGACCCGATCTCCTCCATCTCCACTGGCGGGTTAAGGAAGCCGCTAGAGACACCTGCGCGCGAGATGTCCTCTTCCCCGGAAAAGGTCAAGCACAGCTTGTACTCTGATCGTGACACGGCAAGGTCGACGGTCTCTGGCAGAAGCTCTTGGGTGTAGCTGGCGATGGAGTATGTGCGCGGTACTTCAAGAGAAACCAGCCCGGTCAGCCACGACAGGTTGTCGAGGTTGAAGGCTCTGTCCCAGATCTGAGGCGGCGTATCGGTGACAGCACCTTGCAGCAGGTCGCCCAACGAGCCCCTGACAGGCCACTCATCCGTACCGAGGACTTGCAAAACGGTGTTGGAGGAAGCAAGCAGCATGCCGTGGACCTTGATTGCCATGCCCTTGGTGATGGGAGCTAGGTGACCCCGTCGCAAAATGTCACCGACAGTCAACTTGACGGCCGCCGTTCGTCTGACGGATCCCAGGTGCATCGCGAAACGAGCCCAAGTGCCGCCGGCTTCCACCGGGGTATCCATATGTTGCTCCAAGCCGAGGGCAGCAATGACTTTGGCGCACTCGCCCCAGCTGTTGAGGGGCATGACTGCCAACCGGTCACCAGGCGCGAAAGTTATTCCTGTCTCGCTGATGTCGAGAGTCACCATCGCAATCGACCTTGTCGGGTCGGAATCCACATGGGACCTGCTGAGGACCCGGGTGACATAACGGCATTCCTCGAACGTGCCTCTCATCTGATGGGGTTCCATGGCCAAGGCGCCTCGGTAGGGCTCCAAACGCTCCTTCATGGCCTCGGAGAACTGGCGATGGGTCTCCTCCCAAGGTCTTTCGCCGTCTGCCGCACCGGAAGCGCCGTTGGTCTCGGTCCGGCCGGTCTTCGCGGCCACCTCCAAGATTCCAAACACCTTGTACCTGTGAACTCCCATAAAGCCGCGCTCTCCGGTGTAAGCCTCGACGATGCCGTCGAGAACACCCATAAGGCGCGGGTCGCCGGACTGCTGAACGAATTCGGGGATGCGGTAATGATACTCAACAGCCGCGATAAAGGCCCGCAAGTTAGATGGGAGCCACGCCCGGAGGTGGACGCCCTCAGCACCGAGGAACGATGTGTACCTGAGCAGAGGTTAGAAGCAGATCATCATGAGTGTCTGGCACAAGGAGGCGCGTCACAAGAGGGTTCCATGGGCGTCAACGACTTACTTCTTTCTGCCCAGGAACGCATCCATCACCAGGTAAGGTGGGAACTGCAAGCCCGAAGAGGCAGGGCATCGTTTCGAAAGAGGGGCAGAGAACTTGGCCCAGCGAACCCATTGTTGAACAGGCACGTAATTCTCGCCCGCGTTGGGGTTTGTCGAAATTGAGTGGAAGGCGTTGGGCATCCGTTCGAGGATTTCCTTCAACCGAATCATCTCATAGAGGAGGCCTTCGACATTGCGGTTCATGACGTGCTCTTGGCAGGCGGCGATGGCGTCAGGTCCATGCTGGAACGAGGCTGTCGGGAAAGGTTAGCAATATCTCTCGGGTATGGTTTTCCCAAACGAAGTCGAGGGTCAGCGGACAACACTAACCAGACGTTTCCGCAACTCCCTTTAGAAAGGCTACTTCGGCACGTTCGCCAAACATTGGCCACCTAAGTTCTATGTTGTCGAAGCGAGCCACGTAAGGGTAGCCCGATGTTGCGTCCTTTATCTTCAGATTGTACGAAGACTGGTCGACAAAGGTGAGGTGTGGGAGAGTTCTGCCCATGCGGCGGGAAACTTGGAAGTAAGGAAGGGCAATGCTGAGAGGGATACCGACAAGTTCCTCTCCCAAGGGGTCACCCATTTTGCAGTTCAGCTTCAACTTTGTCGGGTTTGCCGTGGCGTTTACCCCGTCGTGCCCGTCATACTTTTGCTCGAAGCGATATATGGAGCACAGCATGCCTAGGGCGACGATGGCCGCCCAGAGTGCCTGATCAGGGATAACGTCTTCGGTGCCCTCAATGACGGGCGCAGCTGCGATCGACTCTCTTACTCTACCTCGAGAGACGCAACCGGGCATCCTCTCACAAAGATCAGACCAAACGCGGCCTGGGGATCTGGCCAAGGCACCGGCGGCCACGTCGTAGTCGGGTGGGCAGAAACCATGCTCTGTGCTGAGGTACCCGTCTCTCCAGCCGCTTTGTGGCCCGATCTCCTCGGCTCGGAGCATGACTTGTCTGGCTGGCGCCCCGAGGGCGACAGAAAGTAGGTCTTGCTCATTGGCATTGAAAGCATCCATCTCGGCCTGGCTCGTGGCCATGTCGATCTCTTGGGTTGATGGGTATTGAGAGTAGAGGACATGGTTGATCGACTTCCTTTCTCTGCAGAAACTCGTTCAATATGCAGTGTGAACACTGACATCGGTTGACTTACCTCATCCGCAGCCACTCCTCTGCGTTGATGCCTCGAGGTATCTAAGTGATTGTCAGTGCATCCATAGAAGAGATCCTTAGATGTCATAAAACTCACATCGAATGCTGTGTGAATATCACCGGGCTGGGAGAACCCAGAGAAAGAACATCCTCGAGGACCCATTCGCTTACTTGGTCGGCTTGGTCTCCCCGACTTGTCTGTGCCGATAGGACACATCCCTCCCGTGGTGCCCGAAACTGGGCATGATCTCTCCGAGTACGACATTGTGAATGTGACTTGCGTCTGCACTGTTTAGAGAACCATCAAAGACAGATGAGGGAAGGAAATAAAAATCAGAGACGAGGATAGATAGATATGGCCGCCAGGGCCAAGGAGAATAACGGCCTCAAGCCGGCGAAATCAAGATCTGGGAAACCGGCAAATTGTGCAATTCAGAAAGAAGAAAAAAAGACGAAATAGAAGGCGCCTTTCCCCATGGATTGATATTATTTCAAAAGAAACTCCTCGAGATGTCGTTGTGGCGCCATGCAGAAAAAGAAAGACGGGGTTTTGCCCCTGCGTACGCACTGTCCCATGGAAAAAACAAAACAACCGCAGACTGGGGCCGTTAGGAGTCTCCGCGGTCGTTTGAATTCTGAATCACAGCCGCAGGAACTCATGGGTCAAACGGCCCCCAAAAGACCAAAGGGGATGCGTTCCGGGGATGCGTTCCGGGGATGCGTTCCGGGGATGCGTTCCGGGGATGCGTTCCGGGGATGCGTTCCGGGGATCGGGGAGGCAGCCGTGGGATGGGCGGCGGCTCAGCTCCACGAGACCCGAACATGCTAACATGGTAGCCAGCCTTTGGATGGCCGGATGCCATCCCATAAGGAGACTTGGCTAGTTCCAAAATCTGGAAGGTCTAGTCTCATGAATGCCAAGATGATTGGCATGCAGCAAAGGCGTGAATCTTCTGGGATTATCATGCATCTATGGGATACTCGCTGATCTTATCAGGCAGTTGAGCAGAGTAAGAAGAGACCCGTTTTTGTGGCCACAAGACCAATGTGTTCGATGGCGTACACCATGAGCCCACGGACTTATCCGCCGGAGTCAGATATATAGATAGCCCTTGTAGTGCGAGATGGCCTAATCGCACTTGTGTGGCCGATTATAGCATTAGAGAGAGCGTCGATTAATAGATGGACACAAGTTATAGGAATAAGAAGGTTGAGGGGGATCGTGTCTACCGGAAGAGTCGGTAGTGTCATGCGGATGCAGTGTAACGAAAAGATTATTCACCCAATCAAGATGCGTTAACGCATCACGTACTGATCTGTACTCGAGAACTTTGTGCATACAGCTCTCCCGATCCGATTCACTGCTACCACGTTCATTTTTTATTCTTTTCTTGGACCCGCGGAAGGTGGAAGGTGGGGTTGTTTGAGAGCTTGGCAACTCAACTCATAAGATGCATCATGTTACAGTCCTCGAGACGCGGTTACGCACCAAGACTCCGCGAAGAGACAAGGGGTAGAGACATGGTCAAGGCGCCCGATTCTAGAGAAGAAACTTGGGTGGTAGAGCTGTATTTTACTATACGCCCTTCTCGAACCTTGATCAAGGATGAAGGTACACTTCTCCTTGGATAATGTAAACCGAGGGGCAAGGGACTCCTGCAGCCCCAAACGGCTTCTATTCCCGTGAATCCCCAATCTTCAGTTCGGTTCCACATGAGTGACAACAAGGAGTGGTCTGGCGCATCTCACTCGGCGTACTTGAGGCCGCCGCTACCCTGTCCTCGGTAAATTGCTAAGGAGGCACTTGTTGTTTCTTTTCTTTGATATTTTCCATTGCTGGTGAAGGCTGCAAACCAATCGATGAACTGTCCGGGGGCCGAAATGTCGTCGACGCTTCTTGGCAGTCAGAGCATAAGATGGCATGACATGGCTCGCTCGCTGCCAGAAAATCCAGAACGTCAGACAACAGAGAGTGATTTCTTACAACGAAATCTCCCACGTGAATTATCTCGCGTCACACAAGCTCGTCATAGGCCTGTTGGTGTTATGTTTGTGACTTGCCTAAATGCCCACCGGCTCCATTCAAGAGGGTGAACAATTGCCAGGAATCGACCCACCCCCACATTGACAATAGTTGCCCCTTTCTCACAACCATGTATCGCACCCTATTGGGTCAGATGTTGCGAATGAAGATGCGATGTCAAGAGTCTGGTAAGTAGGCGTCACCATAATGCCATCTACTTTACATTACACATCTTCCCAAACCTGTCCTACGTCTGGCAATGCCACTTTTTAATATACACTGCCCTAATTACATGGCAGGCTGCATTAATACATACCATGTCTTGAATCCTGGGCACAGTCTGGCTCGAATATGCTACCACATCTTACCCTTTACAAATATTTGATATGGACCAATGTCACAATGCCTCGCGTTGTCCGCGTCAACATGCGTCGATTAAGCAATCAGCCCAGACGACATTCGCATACAAGCTTATCTAACGCCTAATATCACGCGGATTCATTCTCTTTACTTTTTGGTCACAGTAATGCTAAGTTTGCAGACAAATGGGCTATGAATATGATGTTTTCTATAAATTCTTGTTTCTTTTCTCTTGGTGCGAAGGAATGGGGTGGGTTCCGTCACTTCTCAAGAACTATATTCCTTTTCTCGTCATGTGCTCCACCGCCTACCCTTGTCCGCTGTTTCACCACTTCATTCGAAAGTGTGTCCGCTTCTTTCTTAACCGACGGGGCGCCCGCATCGTCCCGGTGGGCGTCTAGTAAGTCTTTGCGTGACTTTCCACTTTGACGGGTACACATGGGAGCATACCCAGCAAGTGATGTGGGAGTCATTTTTAACCGTGTCACTGTCGTTGTGTACCTGTGCGACCTCAAGAGGGACCGCCTTGCAGATGTACCTAAGTGATGCGGGGGTCATTAGATCATTTCTTTAGTTGTCTCATGCTACCAAGCGGCTCTTCATTCCACCCATCTTCCGCTTCGGCTCTTGTTACGATCCCGATGCTACAGGCGTGTTTCGCATCAAAATCGATCGGATAAGAAAAAGAACCTATGGTTAATTAAGCCACCTGAGTATGTATTGTTTCCCTGCTTCGTCGAGATCAATCGGGGATCACCGGCAGTACCGCAGCTAGGTAAGATTGCCATTGTCCAGGGATAATGCACATGAGCCAACAGACGATACCTGCCAGATATTATGCATGACGGAGGGGACTTATCGAAAGTCAGAAAACGCGCCACTCCCGTTGAGATGTCTTTCTTGGGCTGTAGCGCGCGAACTCACCGTGGCTTTTGCTTTGACTGCGCCTTTGCCGTCTAAGCGAAGCCATGTCTTGGGTTTTAATTCAACCTCCTGCCACTTCGCGAACTCTACCGTGGGAGCTTCCTCGGTGCGCCACCATCAAGTCATTGAGGTGGGCTGTGTGCGCCAAATTCGGTCACCTTGGAAAGTGACCTCGGGGAGGCCAGGACAAGGGCCAGGATGAGAGCAAGGTGATCTATGTGAGTTGGGATCGCCAAAGAGACTTTAAAAAGACCCAGGATAAGCGTCATTGAGGCGATAGATGTCAAAGTAGCCACGGTATATAGCAGTCGCCAAAGTCATAAGCAAATGGGGGTGCCTCCACTTTTGTATGCACTTTGTCAATAGAATCCTGACGAAGTGATGGCCAATTATACTCCCAGGGTTACATCAACTAGTAGCGTTACAAAACGGATGTCGCAACCGCAACTGTCGCTAAGGATCTCTTTACTTAGCTGTCTGTTAATGCTTGTAGTTATTATAACTAGTATATGACTATGGTTTAATCTTTATCTTAACTACTCTTGCCGCAAAGAACAGTTACATGGCTCCTCAGCATACTGCTGTTACCTGTGTGGTCGAACATATTGACATACGTCGCTCCATTGTTCGATGAGATGTTCCCTCCCAAACAAACAATGATCCTAAATTAGCGCTTAATTGCAGTATAAATCAGGAGAACTAGACGCACCCGGACCAGACACGTGTATCCTGGCTAGAGAAGCAATTTTGACAGCAGCTCACGCAGGCTTGCAAGTACTGGCGAGCCTTTGGTGACAATTCTCCGGTTCTTTGAGGCATTCTTGTTAGAGCTCTGTTGTAGCTCCAATCACGTCCCCATTAGCCGTTGAAAGACCCAATACTATGCAGTGAGCTCATGTTTTTGACCTGAACCGATAGCTGTATTTATGCCAGTTTTCAGCAGTCTCCGCTACCAAGCAACACTCTATAAGAGCCTGAGTAGCCTTGAGCTCACGTGACATCGTCTGCATGTGAAAAGTCGCGTCATCTTCCGTACTTAACTCAAGTATCCGTATAGGGCCGTCGCTAAGGTTTATACGCATGAGTGGGACCACATAGTTGATTATGGCTTGCGGGACCTAAGTGAGAGGTTCAGGGTCGCGTTTGATAGTGGCGTCGTGCGAGAGGGCGGTTACAACGGCAAAAACTAAACCCTACTCCTCATGTGGCGCACGTCGCTCTTGAGGCTATCGTGACGCGGATACAAAGCCGAATCGCTATGGCCTTCTCTGCTTCGGGTCCTGTCAAAAGTTTCTCAGCCAGACACACCTGATTTTTGGGTCGGTGATCCGCAAGAATCCCGCAATATTGATTTGAAAAGTGAGTTGATTGGGTACCTGCTCATGAATGCTCTCGGAGTACGGGGACACGAATTAGGCTGCCACTTTCGCTTCTGGACCCTGTCAGTCCGAATTCCGACAAGCTGAGCTTGGCGCGCTTGGGCTCCGCTTCCAGAACGAGCCTATCGCTGTCCTTTGTCTTGTCTCCCGCCTCCAGTCTTGCGATAAGCGAGCTCCTCTAACTCCTCCTCAGCATGAGAGGCACAGCAGTATACGAAGTTTGCCGCCAATGGTGTGGCCTCAACTAAGCTGTCGGGCGTAATTTAGGCTTGGCTCATCCTTATGTATTACTTTGGCCATCCAGCCCTTCCGCGGTCTTTCCCCCATATCTTGATTCTTGACCCTTTCTTCTTCCAGTCATGAACACAGCCTAGGATATACGGTCTTACGCTTCCAGACCTTACACGAAGAGAACACGGATACCCCGTCGGCAAAGCTCATTGCTCTGACTATCATCGGCATTGCCCCTAACTGTAACGCATAACCAAGGCGTTTGGTTAGTCACTTGAACAGGCGCCCAGCGCCTTGGCAATCGCCATCATGCAGTCAGGCAGTTCCTTTTCCGCTTCGAGAGAATCGAGAGATTTGCCGCGATCTTCTTCAGCGTCGCAGTCTTCTATCGAAGCTGGGTACGATACGCAAAGCCGATCCTTCCTAAACCAAAATGTTTTCAAGAACGCAAGACACTATGTTCCGACCCGCCTCCTGAGCAATCGCCGCCTCGCCATCGCCTTCGGATGTGCTATATTTCTTGTTATTCTGATAGTGGCCACAACCACGGGTCAACAAAAACGGGCCATTGTTTTCGAACTCAATGCTGCCACCAACCGCACATTGGGCTTTGGTTCAATAGAGATGATCAACTTGCCCATCCGGCAGGATAAGGCGGACGCTGCTACTGTTCAAGCATTTCTATCCGGCATTGATATTAACATCATGGAAGGTGTTAATGGCAGCCGCCTTGGCGAGGTGGGCATGCCACCAAGCAGCATTCCTGATACTGAGCCTGGCTTATCTGGCGGCGAGAAAGGTTGCTGGAGGTCACATGCTAACGTGAGTTGGCGTCTTATCGAATCCGACTTCCTCGCCATACGCTAATGTCCCACTAGGCTTGGAGATCTATGCTTCGTGCGAACAGGGGAACGGTCCTCATCATGGAAGACGATGTGACGTGGGACATCAACATCAAGGAGGTCATGCGCCTCGCTTCCTCTAACCTAGCCGTTCTTCTTAACGGCACTCGCATGTTCGATATCGGCCAATCGCAATCCAAAGTACGCAATGCTCTATTTGACCCTTGGTACAGCGATCGATGGGACTTGATCACTTTCGGACAATGCGGTGACGGAGACGGCTGGAAGTCCGAACGGATCAAGTACGACGATCCTTATACGAACGGGAAGCAAAGCGAGTACTTTGGCGTCGGTCTCAAGGGTGGCCGTCGGATGGTCCGTCGAGCCGGCGGTATGACGTGTACTGGAGCTTACGCCGTCAGTGCCCGAGGCGCTGCAAAACTTCTGCTCCGAAGCAACTTTGACTTGAACCTACCGGTAGATGTCATCATGAATGACATGATCGGGAACGGTCAACTGCACGCGTACAGCATATGGCCCCCACCAGTCGTACAATGGCGGTACCGCGACAAGCTGGGTATGTGGGGATCCATGGGAAGCGATATTAGGGTCGAGCACAAGGACCAGGATCGGAGCGGGTGGCAAGAGGCACACAAAAAGCACGATGTATGGCAGCTGAAGGGTGACACGACGGGCTTGAAAAGTCCCGCAATCAAGAGTGCCTGGGGTACATTGATCGGCCTTGACGAAGAATGACAAAAACGTTCACAAGCAGCCTTACTCGATAACGTTGGACATATGAACATAAGATGTTATAGGTACATAAAATAAAAGCAAAATCGTCTTCCAATATGATTTCTCGATCCATTCTGGTGCGTATGTCAGCGAACAATCAAAGATGGAGGAAATGCCACTTCATGTGGCCTCCAAGAGGTGACCCGGCATATCATCAGTGGCTTTTATTCAACGTAATGTTGATGAAGCTGAAATTATTCAGATTATCACTGTAGAGGCGTACAAGCAAGTCTAGACTAGACGTCGTTTTTCGAGACGCTCTTCCAATTCTCGGTCTTACCTCAGACATGGCACAACCTTCAACTCATTTTGCTTGCTTTAAGATTCTAAGAAATCACGTCCCAATACCCTAAGGCTATCAACACTAGCTTTATAGCCTAGAACAAGCCAGCTATTCTTGCGCGTATTTCTTAATATCCGGTTCGCCCCATACCTTTTTGGGATACAACAGGCAATCCATCGCAGTGTCATCCAAGATGGCTTCCGTTGCATTGATCTCAACAGCGTTCAATTGACCCGCGGAATGATCCCCGCAGACCTTCTTGTCAATCCTTTCCAGCTTTCCCGGTCCTTCGTTCTCGAGAGCATCTTTTAACAGGGCGAATGCCAACGAGTTGTACAGAATGCCCTTATGCGGTATAGTGCGACCAGATGGTGTGTTGGGACAAGCGTTTTGTACCTCAATGTTTGACACATCCACTCCTTGCGCATCATTGAGAACGGCCGAAGCATTCGGGCCAGATTGGGGCTGAATGATTTCGTCCGTTGCACTGAATATTGACGTAGTCGGGACTATGCCTACCGGATCAGCCCCAAGCTCTCGCTCAAGTAAGCTTCTGAGGACATCAATTTACCGTATGCACTGTCGCCTCCATCCGCGCGAAGAGTGCGCACGAATGCAGAGTCGTACGTCTGTTGATAAACACTCGGTGCGGCGCCGATGATGGGCAAGATTATGTTACAGCCGTAGAATGCCTCCGTGGTCCCGCGGAAATTGGGGCTCAGTGCCACCAGGTCCGTAACCGCATCCCGGGTGCTCGGCCAGTACTTGAGTGCCCACTGCACGTTGAGGTTTCCCTGTCCCCAAGCGACTACGGCTGGTTTTCTTCCCGTCCAGGTTTGGATGTAGTTCATGGAGTATGCGACGTATTCCGAGTTTTCTTGGGCGTCGTTGAGTGACGCGTCTGGGATGTTCACCCAGAGAGGGTCGGCAAAGTCGGACTGGGCGAGTAGAATGCCAAGATTCGCGCGGTATGTTGATCCGGCCATCGCACCCATTCCTGGTATCAGAATCACCGGCTGTTTATTCGAAGATTCATTGAACGTCTCTGGGAAATAAATCTTGCTTCTCAGCTCTTGCTCCGACTTCGAATATGGCGCGTCACCGTCCGACCGCTTGGGGTAGATCTGGGTTTTTGGGTCGGGGTTGACGTTCTCAGTGGAGTCCACATCGCCACCGTGAGGACTATCCAGAGCCTGGATATCGGACGCTATGGTGTTAGACTCTACTGTTACTGTTTGATTGCTATCAGCGATGCCGGGAGTTGTGAAACCTGGCTGGTCAGAGACGGGTCGGGTGACGACCTTCGTCAACCACCAGGCAAGGGAGATTGGGACAACATGCGTAGTCTTCATTTTCTACCCTGAAATTGCGGTTGAATGTAAGCAGTCCCGTCTTTCTTAAAATCAAAGCAAGCAACGGGCGACGAGAGGGTCTAAATAACCTTTCGTGTTGCCATTATGTCCTTCCAAAGCCAACGGTAAAAGATGTATTGATCAGGGGATCCCGGCTGTCTGGCAAGCTACAATCCTGGTTTACTTCTGCTTAAGTTTCTGGTATCGTCCGGCCTTGATCCGAATTTCATCCAACCCAACGTTCTGTGCAAAAGGACGAAGATTAGCATCTATACTCGTCACAGGGGGGGGGGGGGGGGGGCTCACAAAATCCATCGCATGGTTTCACGAGAAATTGTCGGCCATGAGTAATCCGGCCCCCAAGAAGGATGAGAAGCATGTCACTGTAAGAGCCTTTTCGTTATCAGTTGGGTGACGAAGTATCGTGGTTCAGATGATGTTTGTTTGGCTAGAACATCTCGCTGTACGCACAGTGTTCCCAAGCATTCACATGATTCCACATGATTTCATAAGTAATTCGTCAGGTTCTCGGATAGTATATTATGGAGCATGGAGATAGCTAACCTGACACTGTTATAGGCATATCGATTGTATCCGTACTGGGGACCGGATCTCGATAAGGAATCACGCAGCTAGATAGCAAAAAGGGCAAAAACATACAACACCAGGTATTCGCTGGTCGTCACCGACCCAACTACTAATCCGGCCCTCACTGGCTTATCTATGGGAGAGCGGACGGGATCCCGAGTTTTCCAGTAGATATGGTCGTATGTAGCATACCGGAGCGGAAGGAATGTTTATAAGCTCTACCGGGTGTTTCATGCCACGAGAAACTGCCCCTTGCCCTACAGTATTAAGCTTGTACAAAATGAAAAGAAGCAACGGCATTTTTGCATATGCTCTATATATAAATTTACTTTAAATATAGGGGTAAATCAAAATAATATCACTATAATTATTCTTTCTATCTGCAAAGTATTAACTGTTGTATAAGCCTTATGTACTAGGCTTATACGCCGTGAGTTAATTTGGACCAAGTGTGCAATGATTCGTACCTGAGGCCCAAGTATTCAATCTGGTTAACCTTTGTTTTAATCTCTGTATATGATATTGATGTTCCAACAAGCAAAGATAAGAGCCGCTTGTTCTAACGTTAGCTTCTCGATGCTTAGTATGTATGAAAGGCGGGAGCTGCAAGTCTGAGCCTACTTCATCGGGAAACAGTTCTCTGCGGCAATAGAAACTCAACGTGGTCGCAACATACTCAGTACGTAACCAGACCAGGATCTAACTGTGACTGTTTCCCATCTTGCAATAGGTCTATAGAATAATTCCATTTCCTGTTGACTCACTCAGCTGCCTCGCACCGCCAGGTGCCAAGGTCTCAGTGGATTCTGAACCATCACTCTGTGAGCCCATATTCAGCTACAAGATAAGAAAGTAATTAACATCATAAGTTGAAACGATCCCGAGCGACCCGCCCCGCCCCCCCTCATTGCCTCAGAGCGTTCATCCGTGTCAAATGGTGTCGTCCCAAGCTCAAGCCCCTCGAAGATTCGGTTCCGTATTGTGTGAGCGAATCAGCGCCATCAGCCGGATGTCCGAAACTTTAATCTTTAGCTATTACGTGTTTGCATGTGGAAACCGCTTCACTACTAAGTCAATAGGGGATTGGTTTATTTTCATCCTTGCTTGGCTGCAAAAGAAGGCGAAAGGAGGCTGCTAGACTAAAATCTACTTCGTAACAGTTGATGAAATTTCTATGCTTGCAATCCTTATAAGAAATAAATGAATTTATGAGTGATCTGCGTCATTTGCATGGCTGGTAGCCTCGCTCCCTCTGCTAGCTAATGGGAGACAACCATTGACACAGCCCTCCTAGTAGACGTCCTGTAATTAATGGGGCAAATGGGCTGAGCAGTTGCACGACATCGACGTGAAGAGACACAATAAAGGCAGTTAAGGCATTAAAGTAAGGAAGCAACGCGCGCACAACAAAGCAACAGCACAGACAATGAACTAATAGCATGTTGTGGAACTGGAATAGCTTTGTGTAGTACCAGTGGCAGCCGCCACAGATGGCGTACCACCCGCACGGACTGCTTGGGATAGGTACAGTGGGGTGCCACAAGTCTCCTGACATATACACAGTATACACCTAAAGCACAACTTTATAGTAAGTAATATCAAGCTAACTATATATCTTAAAATTAAGGATAAAATACTTCCTAGATAGCCTTACTAAATCCCTATATATTTTATATTTAAGTACTTATTCTACTTACTTATTAAGATAAAAAAAGAGAAAAAAAAGTATAGTGTTCTTTACTTTCTAGAGATAGTAAGCTTATAAGGGATATATACGTAGTATAAATACTATATTTTCTTAAGGTAAAAGTAAAAAACCTAAACCTATTTATTTCTAGATTTAATATATTTATTATTATATAAGTAGTATACTTATAAAAATAGTATAATATAATTTACTTTTATACCTAATATATTAAGATAAAGTGTATTCTTTATAGTATAGTTAAGGTGGCGCACTATGAGGTGTCAGGAGACTTGTGGCACCCTACTGTATTTCTACCACTTCTCCAGTCCATACATAGTCTTAATAGGACAACTACTTTACTCTCAAATGACCAGACGCTGCGGTTTGTCACATAGCACAAACAGTAACAGGCAAAAGATAGGCGGAGGCAACATATCCCAGTCAACCTCTTGACTGTTTAATCCAGTTACTACCAAGACTCAAGGGGCTGGCCTGTGCGCCCTGAAACAGCATGGTCTTGCCTGAAGGGGTTTGCCTCTTTTTTGTTTACCTTTCTTCTTCTTGTTGTTCTTTCCTCCCTGGTGTCTTGAGATTTAGAACTAGAATAAATGTCTTTGAGTATGCTACGACGCTTGCCAGCTTTACTTTGTGTCCTAATTCCTATATGAGTGGTTGCACATGATGCTTGCTTCATGTCACTGAAGTGCCCCTATTGGTAGTCTTTCGAAACGTGTCTGGTGTGCGTCAACTTCAGATCGTGGAAGAGAACGCACCCGCCTAATCAGGTCACAGAAATTCGCAAGACAGCAAACGAGGGGTGCTAAGCTTGTTGGACGCAGTTCCGTCACTCAAAGGGCTGTCTTCAGCAGTTAACAGCTTTCCGCTGTTACCCAGAGACAATAAGGTGTGTGATGATAAACAACGGCCCCTGCCTTGTTGCAGGGGTCAAGGGATAATGGACAGCCACCCCTGACTCCCTCTCAGCGCCAGGATGCATGCATCGACCGATACGGAGACGTTGGCTAGAACACTACATGTACGGATCTCACTCTGCCTGTTGGTTGTTCACAGATACGGTTGTAGATGCGTGCTGCGTACTCAAGTGGTTAGTTGGAACCTATGTGGACCAAATGTCATTTCAGGGCATATTCGTACGCATGAGTCAGTTGCCAGAAGGTCTATATAACTAGCCACTTTCCAACCAGCTAAACCGCTAGACTTATAGAATTCATGCCTTTTACAATCACGTCTTGTTGATGCATCAACCCATCTATAGCCTTTCCAACATCAATAGAATTAATACCAGGAGGTGTGCTGTTCCCACTACTCGCAGGGGGGTTTGCCACGTACTGGAGGCCTTGCTCCATTTCAGGCCGTGGACTGATTACCACAAGTTCAGCCCTGCCGAGACCAGACACAGGGCTAGGGGGCTAGGGGGCTGGCCGGTTGTGATAGGCAGGGGAGAAGCGAAATAGCAGGCCTTAAGACCATATTCGCTCCGTTGATCCAGAGTCCCGGCAACTATCCTGACACAGCACAAGAAAGACCACTTCGCAAGAGACTAGCGTATCGATCGTTAGCTGTTCGACATCACCCACCGCATCATCTTCGCACAGCTACGTTGCCTCTGTGCCTCCCGCCCAAGTACCTCCAAAAATGGAATCCGCTTTAGCTCCAGCACCGTCCTCAACACCGAAACCGCTTCCCATCATTCATCTGAACGGCTTCCCAGGCACCGGCAAGCTTACCATCGCGCGCGCCTTGCAGCAGCAAATCGGGGCATGTTGCCGGCTGGTACACAACCACCTGCTCATTAACCCCGCCGATGCGGTGCTACATCGCTCCGAGGCCGGCTACCAAGACCTCCGGCGCGCCATCCGCGGGGCGATATTCGCGTCGCTAGCCCATAGCCCGGCAAGCCACCGCTTCGCGTACGTCTTTACCGACTTCCAGTCCACCGACTCAATCGGTAGCGCCGTGTGCGCTGAGTACCTGGCGGCGGCGCGTGCCCGTGGCGCAGCGCTAGTGTCTGTCGTCGTGCACTGCGACGAGGCGACCAACCTGGCGAGGTTACAGGCCGGAGACCGCGAGGCACATCATAAGATCATTGATCCAGATCTATTGCTCATGTTTCGCAGGGGCACTCAGATTCACCGATTCGACGAGCCGGGAGTGATGAGCTTAGACATAGATGTGGCCAATTTGAGCGCGGTCGAGGCGGCGAAGGGTATTCTAGAACATTTACTAAGAGTCTGCCCTGAGTTGGAGGATGAAATTACAGTAGCCAAAGATTGCTAAAGTAAAGTCAAGAGACGCGTATGCTTCCAATAACCCGTCTGAAGCGGTCCATAGTGATCCACTTGTGATTATCTGGCTCTACCCATACCACAGAGCCGTTGCTGGATGATCCTGACACGCTGGGGTCGCAGACTGGCCTTATCTTGACGACGCATCGCCGGCACTGGGCACACTGTTTGTACATGTGGAAGACACCGCGATCGATGCGGTTTAAGTCAGTCGGGGCATCAAATGAGCAGCTAGGTAGCTTCATAAAGACCGGCTGTGTCCAGTATCACACCATTGAAGCCTTGATTGTTTCATATAGTATGGAAAAGTACATCTACTACCCTCCTACATTTGAAAATAGAAACACAGTTCATCCATAAAACATATACTTGTAAGGTATATGAATCTCGAAACAGTGCATTCAAAGCAGTATTTTAGATGGCTAGACTGGGGCTTATTGCTTGGGAAAACGCCTACTTATGCAGCTCCGTCACGCGAGACCGAGCTCCAATTGGAAGGCGTCCGTGTTGGGCTGTCGGCCTAGGAATTCTGTAAGGGTCTTCATCTCATCCTGTTCCCCCCCCTTTTCTAGGACAGTATATTAGTATCTCTGACCCTCCTCTGCATTTATTGAATCCGCCTTGAAGATAGTGCGGAAGATATTGGCGGAGTACACCTTGGAACTAAGCGACAACTGTATTAGCAAATAACCTGAAAGATATGTTTTAGCGAGGCTATTCTAGTCTTATAATAAATAGCTGTAATATCCTGCGTTGTATTTATTAACTAAGTGTCTAAAGCGGATATAACTATAGCCCTATTTGTTACTGTAGCCTACAGCCTCTAGGCTATCTGGCGGGTATATCTCGCTTTGTATCTTGTTGTAGGTTGCAGATATGTTCATGTTCTCTATCGAGCTGTGGCTCTTGGGGTGGTGAACTGCTATGTCGAAAATGCAGATGTAGAGCTGGTTCAGATGGAATAATGCGCTATTTACGTACCTTGACTTGACTAGGCTCTTGATCATGTCGTCCGGCATCTTTTCAGGCGGCGGTCTCTGGCTTGCGTCTGACTTTGATTGCTAGGATTGTAAATACTCTGGTGAAAGGGACGAGTAGTGTTTGCTAAGGGCCTTTAGCTGAGATAGCACCTAGCACAAATTCTTGAGCATCTAACTAGGAGCTTCACCAAAGTCTAAGGCAGTCTCTGTGGCATGGAAACAGGCGTATGCGGTCTTTAATACAAGGTTATAGATACCGTAGCCTAGCTTATAGAAAAGAGTAACCACTTTATTATGCTTTAATAGACTAGGACTCTAGGACGTAGGTTTAGTAAAGCTGCATACTATTGCTGTTATAAGGTACTAGTAAATACCGTCCTCTCGACTAAAACCCTAAAGGGAATATTAGCACCTCTAGTTAGCAAACAGGAATTATATGTCATAGACATACTAGTATCACATTAAAGTTTGCCGCACCCCTATTTTTCCCTTTACAAGGGAAAAGGTCTAAGTATAGATAGCCAACAAATCCACCACCTTGCTTCACATAATCCTAAACGCTAAAAAGTTAAACATCCTGTTGGTATCACAGGGATCGCGATCGTAAAGCAGTAATAGTTCGATTGACTACTAGTTGCTTGTTGAGATGGATGATAGGAAAAAAGAAGAAGAAGTTGTTGCCGCGGATATTCGTGGTGGTGTAAGTGAGCCGCCAGGGTGAGTCACGTGATAGTAAATCACGTGACCATGGATCGGCTCCACCATTGAACAGTTGAATATCCCGACACTGGCAACTTTCTAAAGTGAAGGAAAATCGCCACAAATAGCCCAGATTTTCTAAAGTGAAGGAAAATCGCCACAAATAGCCTAGATACTGCCCAGCAGCCAAAAAGCTCAAAAACGCAATAAAAATCAAAAGCCTAAAAGTATTTAATACTTTTTGTCTATGTAATCTGTTATATAGCTTAAGAAACCTATCCCTTTATACTAATCTAAACTATCCTATTTCTAACTAGTTATTCTAGTGCCTTATTAGGTAATAATTTAGTAAATCTATTAGTAGGATTATTATTACCTTATATCTATTATACCTTATAGACCTTATATTACTTATATAACTACTAGAGGGCTATAATATTAATTATAAGCCTTTTCTTTTTTATAGTCTTAAGCTTAATAAGGCACTTATAGAGTAAGTATAAGTTAGTATAAAGGATTATTAGTATATATAGTAGCTTAAGGTAGTTAGTAATTATTATAATAGTTATACTAAGTATATAGGTAATATTAGCGCTAGTAACTATACTATAAATCTTAAAGGCTAGTATACTTTAAGTAACTTACTTATACTTTATTAAGCTAAAGTAAATAATATTACTAGTTATAGTAAATTTATTACTTATAGTAGTACTTATAGGTGCCTTATTAGTAAGAATAATAATAAATCCTAGCTATAAAGTAAAGTCTTTATTATTTATAAATAATCTATTTATAAAGATAAAAAGCTTTATAAATTTAAGGTTAAGTAGGTAAAATAATAAACTATAGTTAAGGTTATTTATTTACTATATAGTATAATAGTTAAGTGCCTTAATTTTATTTATATTAGGTAATTAGTATTATACTATAATAAAGTAGTTAAAGTACGCTTTAGGCTAGTAGACTAATATAATATATATACTATAGGCCTATTACTTAACGTACTACTTAAGTGCTTATAGAGATTTTTTATTAATAGGTTAAAGTCTTTTACTTTAGCCTTTTTATTAGAGAAAAAGCTTCCTTTTAGTAGTTAAAGATACTATACTGCTATTAAAGGTAAGTAGGTTATTAATAGTAAGGATTTACTTCTCCTTAGTAGTAAATATAGCCTTAGTAAGCTTATTAGCCTTATAGGTAGAAAAGGATTTATTTAAAAAGGTAATAGTATTATTAGTCTATATACTAATAATCCTAAAGTCTAGGCTCTTTATATTAGTAATTAGTAGGTATAAATTAAAGGTTAAAGTCTTTATTTAGAGCTTTTTTTTATAGTAGTAACTATATATTACCTACTAGTAAGTGTTTACCTTTATAATACTATATAATAGCTTTACTACTTATATAATAGTGCTTTTTAGATAAAGTTCTTATATTTATAATAAAAGGTATATAAAAATTATATAATTTAATAAGGTAGTTAACTATATATATACCTAAGTAATATTATATAACTAAAGTAAAAAATTATTATTATTATAGATAAAAAATAAGGTAAAGGTAAAAATAAGGTGCTAGCTAGCTTACTAAATTATAAGTAACTAGGTAAGAATTACTTTTTTACTATTATTAGTATATCTTTAGATAATAAGGTAGGATTTCTTATATAGTTTTTTATTTTAGCCTTTTACTTTATTAATAATCTATAATTTAAATATTTATACTTTAGTATACTTATTCTTATTATATTAAATAAAGTAAAATACCTTATAGGTAATAAGCCTTTTAATTTTAGTAGTAGTTACTTACTTAAAGGGCTTCTCTAGGGTAGTAATAATACCCTTTTTTTATAGCTTAATTAATAATAGTTAGTTAGCTTTTTCTTTTATTAAGACGTACGCTATACTTATAGTAATAAAAAAAGCAGTAAGCCTAATAGTAAAGTTAGTTTTATTAAAGAAATTAATATACCTCTATAAGTAGCTAGCTTTTTACTTTAGCTATAGGTATATAGTAATAGTAATACTATTATATATTTCTTTAGTAGGCATAAGGTTATTAGTAAGTAATAAGGCTACTATACTATTATTATTATTCTTTTTATTACTTTACCTACCTACCTTAAAGAGTAGCTATTATTACTTATTATAAGTATCTTTAAGGTATAGTTTAATAATAGTTAAATAAAAAGTTTATAGGCCTTAAGGGAGGTTAATAATATAAGTAGTCTTTTACTAGTAATAAGGTAAAAGAGGCCTTACTAGCCCTTTTTCTTACGCTAGATATAGACTATAAATTAAAGTAAAAAGGCTACTATTATAGTAGTATTTAGGCTATTATATATAGTTACTACCTTATTAACTTACCTTTTTATATAGATTTAATAAATAGCCTTTATTACTTTTCTTACTACTTTAGCCTTTTTAAGTAGGGTTAGTAAAGGTAGTAATAAGTTAGAGATTTATAAGTAGGCGCTAAAGACTAGTAGTATAGGTACTAGGCTATTTAGGCTAGCTATATTATTAATTACTTTAATAGCTAGCTAAAAAGTAACCTTAGGTGTATAGCCTTTACTATAAAGGATGTTATATATACGTTAGAGAGGTATATAGTATCTTTTAACCTTACTAATACTATTATAGGCTTTAATTAGTATTTCTTTAATATTAATATAAAGTAACCTTACTAACTACTTAAATTTACTAGTATAAAAGTTTAGGCTAGTATTAGTAATAATCTAGTTAGGTAGGCTAAAGTAGACGTTAATTTAGTATATCTAAAGTGCCTCTTATATATACTTTATAGTAATATTTTTAAGTAAATAGGCTACTTAAAAGGATATTATAGTATTAACTATATATAAGGCTAGGTAGTTACTATTAAGATAAATAATATTAATAATAATCTTATAATTAAAGTTATATTTATTATTATATAAAGTAAATTTAAAGTAACTAAGCGCCTTTATATTTATTTAGTAGTAGTAGTAGACCTTAGTTAATTTCTTTAAGGCTATAATCTTAACTTTATTACTAGATTATTAGAGGACGTAATAAAGCCTTTAGACTAATAGGTAGCTAAAGTAATAATAAATTTACTATAACTTTATATCTATAAGATAGTAGTAAGTAATACTTTACTTATATTAATTAAGTAGTATCTATATATAGCCTTATTTATAAATAGTAAGCATAATAGTATTACCTTAGATTAGCTTATTAGTAAGGTTATTAAATTTAATACTATACTAATTTATATCTATAAGGTAAAGTAAAAATAAGGTATTTAATAGTATTATATAAAAGGTTAGTAT